ACCTCCATTGAGCCACTGCTAAAAAGGCCCTAAATGCTAGGTATGAAGGAGCAAGCAGTTCTGCCAAAGTCTTTGGCTAGTGAAAGGCTTGGAGATGTCTTCTGCTGTTCATTTTTGTTTTTCCTGTGCTTTCTCTGCATAGAAAAAATAAATAATTAAAAAAAAAAAATCAGACTGCACCAAAGATGCTCCTCATTCTGTCATCAATTTCTCTCTTCTGTAGAGAATAACCTGGCAGAACACAAGTGAAAGGGGAGATTTCTAAGCTGACACCACCAGCTCTGTGCTTTCCTGCAATCCCCAGGCAGTAAAACCCATCAAATTAGCTATATTCCCAAAATAACATCCAGCTGTGTAGGCTGAGGAATACCACAAGTGTTGAAATAAAAAAGCAGCAGCTTTGAGTCTGTTGGGAGTCCAGTTTACTGTAGACACCTCAGATCTTAGGCTCAGCTCACCACTCACATCTCAAGAACAGCCCATTTGATGCTGAAATCTTACTTTGATCTTGGGTTTTGTGCTGGTGTGACAATAATTCCCATTGTGGTTCTACACTTTTGTCATTAGTGCCGTTTCTCCTGCTCCACATTGGAAACAGAGGCTGAGAACTGCACTCAGAAACTATTCACCACACTGGCTTTGGCACCTTTTGGCTTTCTGCACAGCCTAAAAAGTTGTCTCTGAATTGTTTTCCATACACAGCAAATGCATAAACACACTCAGTGGCTGCATTTTGCAGTGTTACCTCGGTCACCCTCTCTGCCCTGGGGCAAATTTTCCCTCTGGCAGACAAACCACCTTGGAAAACATCTGGAAGGAGGCACTCTTGCTATCTAGACCCACAGCATTCAGATGCACAGTAGCACACACCTCATCTACGTGCAGATGATGACACTTGCTCGCCTTCCACCAGACATGTAGCCTCGCACACATTATGGAAAAAGGCAAGTCTGGTAACGTAATGGTGCTGAGCATAGACAGCTAGTTAGATCTTCAAACACACCCAATATTCCTCAGTTTAGAGGAAGACGCATGAGGCTCTGAGGACAGATTAGGGTCAGCTACAGGAAGTTCCATCCCAAACGTTCTTTCCAGGACCTGGACCCAGAATGAATACGGTAGGAAAAGCCTCCCTAATAAGTCAAGCTCTTTCTTCTTTCACTAAATAAAACAAACATTTTTCTAACCTGTATTGTTTCTGGCTCTGCTTGCTGCTCAGCCCCTTACTACGGCTTACTTCAAAATTCCTCACTGGGTGTTTGGCAGAGTGAGTATGATCTATAGCGTGACCTTGTAATTCAGTGCACCGCTGTCATTCCATATAATGCACTGTAAAGCGTAGCTTTTATTGGAAATGAAACTGCATAAATAAACACTCTCACTTTAATGTGAAGTAAAACATTTTGCATTACAAATGTGCAGATTCAGGTTGGGAGAAATTAGCTACCAGAGAGCCAAAAATCAAGCAGCGATGTGCCTATATTATTTTGATCTTTTTAAAACGTAGCCAGTGTCTAATAAATTCTGCTCCAGTTTTGTAGTCTTTCATTAGGCCGAAGATTTGTCTGCGCAGTACAGAGAGCTGACTAGGATTAAACCCTCCTTTGGGGCTCTCTTCTTCCATCTGAGCTCCAGCCCCTGCTCCACCACAGTGGCTACAAACAGTCCCTGGTTAGACGAAGCAAGGAGAAAGCACAGTGAGTCCAGCTCTACAAAATGGATCAAAGATGAGCTTTAGTTATTTAAATGTAATCTTTTTGTCTACCACAGTAGCTCTACTTTTCTTATACATACGGACTGACAGCTTGTTGAAAAATTATCTAGCTAATGCACGTGCTCCAACACATGCTTTAATTTTGCACTTTTCAGCCCGTTATTAACTGAGCCATCACTGTTTGTTCAGAATTCAAGGCTGTCTGCTTCCAATGCTCTTAAAAAGCACTTGGGCAAAACTCACAGGCATCAGTTTTGCATACCATACGGCATGAGAGGTGACGGTAACAATTATGTGTCTGGAAGGAGACGCCCCAACCAGGCTACAGACAGTTAGCTAATATTATTCCAATGTGTCACTCAGAGAGGATAAACCTGTCCTAGTCGTCAACTATGTAAAACACTTGGATCGTTAGGCTAGCTCTGGCAGTATCTTGCTGGTTGGGTTGTTTTTTTGGTAATATGCTCACAGTCATTTAGTGAAATGCTTGTGCCAGGCCTTTCACCCACAGAAAGTGCTGCTGCCTTCACAGGCACCTGGGTGCTTTGCTCGGCAGGTTGCAGCACCACAGCCGGCACTCTCCGGAGAGCCAGGACCTGGCACTTGACCTGTTCTGCCACAAAACAGCCCGAGGGAGCTTGTTTGTTCCAGAAAATATACCCCAAAACAAAAATAAGAGTGACCATAATGAAAAACACAGAGCCACTGGATAGAAAATACAGCTGCTTTTTCCTTCCTCCATTACTTCAAGGCCATCCCTGCAATATGGATCTCATTAATGGCTCAGAGACAGCATTGCAGAATTACAAATTCAAGATGTTATTGGAAAAGCCACCCCATGACTCTTATTATGTTTGTGTTTTTTTTTTTTTTTTAATCATCTTTAAAACCAACTTTAAAAAAAGTGATTATTTGGTGCACTGTAGCACTGCCAGTGATTGGGTTGGAAGTGAGTATCTGCACACACACAGACAGCATAACTGACAGCACAGTGCAGCTTTCCACAGAACAGAAGAAAAAAGGCAAAAATATGATATGCAAGTTGGGCTTAAGCAGCAACAGAGCACAACTGGAAGGCCTCTGGATTGGGGTCAGTCACTTCATCTGTGCTTATACACAGATTGATGAAGCTCTAGTCCTCCATTCACAGCTTTCTACTAAATCACCCATATGATTATTTCACTGTGCATTCATATTTGGAAGTCAGATGCTATAACAATAAAATATAATGATGTCAGACAGACTGATGTTAGAGAACTAATAAAACCCCTCCTTTTCTTGGAGAAATATATGGATTTCACCTGAAAAAAAAAAAAAAAAAAAAAAAGTAAAAAGTTTTCAACTTGGCCAATTACCGAAGTTTTGAGTATATGAAGTAATCAGAGTGGAGGTGCTGCAACAGGTTTCCTTGGTTATTTGTGATCAGCTGTCCTCAGCTGTCCTGGTGCTGCCTATTAAAGAAAACACTGAACATTTAAAGACTGCTTAGGTCTTCTCACACACCACTGGTGTAAGAATATTAAACTCAGCCCTTCAGCCTTGTATTATATATGCTCTGCCAGATTATTTTTTAATTGCTTTTGTGTGTGTGCGCAAATCCCAAAGCGTATGTGCAAATTAGGATTCCTGTCCCATGCCAATCTGGGCACATGCCTCGTTTACATGCTCATTTAAAAATGTGAGTCTTGTCATTTCAATCTGCTACAGTAATTTAGCTCTAATGTGGAACTGGTGCCAGGGTTTTGAAGGGTTATTTTTCCTCTCCATGGACAAACTGCTATACTGGAGTGGTTACATTCCTACTTAATGGCATGAAGCCACTTAAAAGAGTTAACCTTCTCCATGCAAATGTTAACAATTTTCTGGTAATACTGTTCCACTAAAATAAAACAAAACAAAATAAAATAAAATAAAATAAAATAAAATAAAATAAAATAAAATAAAATAAAATAAAATAAAATAAAATATCAATGGCTGTTACTACAGAAATAACAGGTACTCTGAACCAGGGCACAATGGCAGAGTGCTCTTCAGCTCACATCTATGTCACAGAAAAATGTCGGGCGTAAGCTCTGAGAATAATTGGATTGCTCTGGATGAGTTTGCAAGTAAAATGAGCTTACTGTTACCTCCATATAATTGTCTCTCACAACATTCCCCGTTCTTTTCCCTCTGCATAATGTTATAGAGAGCATCACAGGAATCCAGAGCTATCCACCACAGCAAGAAGAGCATCAGCAGCAGTCTCAGAGACAAGTAGACAGCTCTGAGGCCAAAGCTGAGGTCCAAAGCATACCAGAGAGTAAGAAATGTGCTGGCAACTGGGTGCCATGTCTGGAGACCTTAATTCTGAGATGTATAACTTCATCTTGCAGATGCTGAGCTGAGTGGCCAGAGCAGTTGTCTTCAATTATGGTGAGAGCCAGAGGGTGGAGGGAAACAAAGAGGGTAACCAGAACTAGATGCTGTTCTGCCAGCTCCTGAAAGATTGTATGTTTATTCATGTAGTTAGTTACCAAAACATCAAGCTTTTTCAAGAGAAAGCTAGACTTTGTATATGTCTGTGTGTGCAACACAAGTGCACAAACTAATCTTCCTCCAAAATGGTAGTTAGCTGCAGTGGATGGCAAAAACACTGATGTTTATTATAAATAATACCCTCTTGGTCAAAATCCAGGAATCTGTCATATGTACTGGGCATTCTGAATTTCCCAAAAATTATCATCATGAGTAACTCAGTAATTACTATCTGCACAGCACCCAAGTATGTGCTTTGTAGCACACACACTGTCCCTGTCCTAAATGCAAATATTCCAGTCCTAAACGTCACTCATAAGGAGAGAGGCCATCTGGGCAGGGAAGGTTTAGGGTCAGAATTGACATGATTTATAGCAGAAGGACCATACTTGTGCTCAGTAAACATTGGCACGTCTTAAGGAAATATTGATTAGATGGTGAAAAGCTTTGCTTTCTTCTTTGTGGAACAATTTACTCTAGCTAGGCTCTTCACATTGAAATATATTGTATATGAAGCAAATGACAGGCAGAAAACATTAACACAGACTCGGAGGAGACTGCTAACACCCACATCCTTACCATCTCTGCCTTCAGCATTGTCCTAAGCCATACAAAATGTCCCTTCAAGGCACAGACAGTGCAGCTGCAAATATGAGACCAGTTTTAGCTGTGTCCCTGTGAGCCTCCGCACCTGCTGCCACTCACAGCTCCCCTTCCTCAGGCAGCACAATATAAATTGCTCCCAGGGCTCTGTCTCCTGCTGGCAGATCTTCTATTTCAGGACAACATCACTTGGTTTGGGCATGAGCCAGCCTTCCAGAGGTGCTCTGCCACCACTTTCCTCAGTGCAAAGCTACCAGAAGGCCACCTGCTGCCCGAGGCTTACCAAGAGGTGAGACCGAAACAAAGAGATGTATGTCTGCCTGTTGGATTTGTCTTACCATGCAAGGGCAACTTTCACTGCTGGTTCTCAAGCATCTGATGATTAACGTTTTTCCCTTTGCTGTATCAGGTCTGTTTTAAGTTGTGGATGTTAGTAGTTGACACTGCCCTTTTGCTTATAGTCTAAGCTACCTTGAAAATGCTGGGTGGCATTAAATAACAAAGCAACTATGCCTAATAAAATAAATGTGTTGTATACACTAGCAGAATAACATAGTTTAAATGTCTGGAATCCTAAATAAAGCATGAATAAGGAGCAGCATATCACCTTGGGATAGAGCAAATCTGAACCAGACAGATGACGGGTTCTTGGCTTTTCAGCATGTCAGAAATTAGTAACATTATTTGTTATAACTTACAACATGCTTTGAATGTTTTTCTCCTTCCTTGACTAAAATAGTAAATCAGAAAAATACACGGTATCATATGCAAATGGAGATACTACTAGTGCAAAACAGAAGGAATACTGCTTAAGGCCTGCCTCTCTGAAATTTAAAACTTTTAAATACGAAGTCTAAGACTAGTATGATTAATTTTGCTACTAGTTTGGGGGGCGAAGGGGGGGAGGGAGGTAAAAGATTGCAGCAAAGAAAAAATCTGTGGAGCTTATATCTGGATATCCATCAAATGCTGTAAGTAGCAACACTGCAAGCTGTTACAGTCAGCTCACACCCTTCTGGTGGATTGAGGGTCTTTTGTTAAGCCTTCAAAAGTTTCAAAACGTGCTGCTCTGAGGTCCACAGCCTTCTGAAGCAATGTTTTGTGAAAATAATTCCCCAGTACATGCAGTGCTTCAAACACTATGATATATAACACAAGAGTATGGACTTGCATGAGTCGTATGCTTGGTGTTCAGCAGAATATATTGTTTAATGTAAATTGTTTACCAAAGAGAACACTACCTGGAAAGAAAAGCCATTGCACAGATTAACGTTTTTCTTCCAGATCAATGAATGCCTTACATTTGAAAGTTACTACTACCACCAAATTGTTCACATCTGCAGGGCTACATTATAACAAGGACAGCATTGGAGTTCAGGAGATATTAAAAAAGCAGCAGGCAAAATCCTAGCCAAAGAGGTATTTTATCTTTGTAAGGACAGAACTTGGTAAGCTAAGTTTCATGTTTTCATCATCTGATTTCTACTCCTAATCAAACACGTGGAAGATAAAAAAACAGCAGATTGTACAAAAGACAGCTGTCAAAGTCTCTTACTTTTATGCAAACATAAACATAACCTGTAATTAGACAAATGAACACATTTTTTTTATGCTGTTACAATTAATTTTTCTAACTCTAACCATGATGAAAACTTTGAATAACCAATACATAATTTGCACCTGCTTAACATAAGGCTGATTTGCTAGAGCTAGAACTGATCACTAGAAACAGTGTTTATCTCTCTCTTTTTCTCTGTCCTCTCCTATTTACAATCTGATAATCTGGTTTAGAACAGTTAGCTTATAGACTTACAAGAGTCATATATGGTCAAACAAAGAACACACCCTTTAAAATATATATTTGAAGTATTATCCCAAAATAATAAGTCATGTTTATTTACCTAAAATGTCTCACACATGCAAAGTATCAAAAGTCATTTGAAACTTAAAGATTCATAATAAAGTTCTGAACTAGAAAAATAAAGGCTATGAACGTAGGCTTACAACCACTCTATAATTATCAACAAGGCTTTCTTTATGAAATGTCTTGTTTCTCTTAGTTGCTGCTTTAGTTAAATCCACACAGGACTACAGAAAGGGAAACATCTCAGTTCCTGTATAAAATACAATCTTTTCCCTCGATGGCAAGAGGAAAATCATGATGCATAAGAATTCTTTAGTGTATTTGCCTTTAGAGTTTATTGACTTTACTTCTACTGGTATTTTACCATGTAGGAATAACATTTAGTTACCTAAACTGAATCCTTGCCGACTTAAAAACCTATCCATTCAACTACATTTTTGGACAAGTTGTATTAATTTAAGCAGCATGAAGCTAGCTGGGCAGAGAGGTATAGGTCAACCAGCTATATTTTAAATGTTTTCCTTCTTAAAAAATAAAGCCTGGAAATGTGTACCATAAATCAGGATCCAGTGACTGAAAGGTGGAGCAAACATCCCTCTGGGATAATAGATCAAGTTAGTACTTGAATTTGTATCATCTTAGAATATCTTTCAAATTTATTTATTAGGTAGCTGAATGATTTTATCTTATCCATGTGTAGCCATCCGGCTCTGCCTATGTCAAGCTGTTCCAGACTACCTATATCCGAGCAGTAGTAGCCTGTGCTGCGTTGGAAAGGGGTTGCCATTGATGGATATGGTTTTGATTTTGGAAAAGTGAGCTGTCTGTCTTTATCATGGATTAAGGTATCATTCAAGGGTACACAGCGTGCTGTGATCTGAGCAGGCCAAGGTAGTCTCCAGGCCCGCCAGCCCTCCAGCCAGGCCCTCCATCTGGTTCTCATAACGCTCCCCAGCTACATTTCATCTCATAAGCTGGAGAGACGACACGAGATTAAAAGCAGGCCCAACGGTGATGGATTTCAGGAGTTGGGGCAGGTATTCTAATTATGTAACACGTGTAGTCATTTCTGGTACATAAATTGGCTTCTTACTGGGACGTATTTTATTGGTACCACTTTCTCAAAGAACGGGCACTTTAAGCAGCATCAGCCTGTATGGATGCAACCAGGGGAAGAAAACTCCTGTTTGTGTTTTGTCTCTTTGGCCCGGCCTTTAACCACCTTAAAACACTAGAACAGCAGCAGACAGTGAGCTGCTTGAGCCCTCCTGGCCGTGAGTACCAGCCCCAGGGCAGGATGTGCTGCAAGAGGACTCGCCTTTCATTAAGTACATTTTGCTCCTGACTTTTGACCGCAGCCTCCACCTTGCAGCAAAACCCACCTCATACACATCCTTAAGCTTACACTAAGCCCCCCTTGCACTGAGTGGGGTTCAGGGGCTGCAAGATTGCTAACTGGCAGATCCTATTGCAGCTCTAGGGACAATTTTACTCCCCAAGAAATCTTATTTAGCATTGCTGTAGGGATGATTTCAAGAGAGAAGTCATACACTTGCTTAGTGATATCTTTCTGAGTATTGGTTGAAGTTGCTTGCATTGTTTTTGAAATAAAAATGATTTATTTAGGCCCATGTTCAGGAAATTATTCAAGTATAAATTTAAATAAAACAAGCTAGAAGCAGAATAAAATAAATTGTCTAAAGTACACTGAAATATCTGGCAAGGAAATTTTCTGAACCCTTTTCAGCAGGTTTCTGACAGCTGAAATACAGCAGAATTAATGAGCATCCTAATGCAAGGAACCACATGGCTTCTTCAGTAAATAAAAAGTTAATAAACTTTTGGAGTTGAAAACTGACAACTTTAAAGTATAATCCCATCAAAATCAAAACTTAGTAAGTTTTCTAGAAGTGATGCAAGCTGGGGTGACCGAGCAAGCTATTTCTCTACCTAATAAAGCAAATATTGCACTTTTATGTGGTCTGGCAGATATTTGGGCTTATCAAGCAAAACCCTGTCTTTGTACTGATTTTGCTGCAATGAAGGCGGTCCTTAACACTAGTATCACGTCAGGGTCTTGCAGGGACACTCGTGTTTGTACCAAGTCCCAATACACACCACCACAGGCCAGCTGACAGAAAAGCTATCAATAGCTCCGTGACTGCTTTTCCCCCCTGAGAACACGCAGCAAACAAGAAAACTGCTTGTTTTGGTAGGCAGGAGTCTTGAGACCTCCACAGGTTACCTCCACCTGGGAGGGAGATATTAGCAGATTTCTTGGATTTCCTGCTTGTCCTTCAAACCAGCATGTCAATAAACAGAATACCTCCATGCTTAGCATGAATCTCTTCTTTCTCCTGAGCTGTCCTGGAATGCTGAGCTTCCACCTGCCTGACACGAGGAGAGCATTTCACAGAATTTACTGTGCAATGGAATTTACCCTACAGGCTGCTTTCTTCCTTATCCCACAGGGGGTAAGTATCTAAGATCATTGAAAAGTTCAGCAGGGGACAGCATTATACAACCTCTGTGTACATTGTGGCCCTATATTTATGAACACATTTAGTTACAAATTATTTCCATGGCCTGTTTTCTTTTTCAGCAGCCTGTGTAAATTCTTTCAGGATGACATTAAATCATTCAGCTGCACCCATTGTGTTGGATTCAATATAACGCAGACCAAAGAACATATAGGCCAAATGCCCTCTGTCTCTCAGGAATTACATGCTTGCTAGGAGTAAATTATGGTGTATTATAATAGAAAAATATTGTCGTGAGTTATTTGTGGCTAAACACCAAAACAAAGTACTATGTGGCAACATCTGATACACAACTGACTTAAAGCCATTTGCCCGAAGGAATTAGTTGCTAACCAAAATCATTATCATTAACTTGTTCTGTAACACAACTTTGCACAAAGGAAAAACAAAGCGCTTCTGGCAGCCATGAAAATCCCCATCCTTAGGCTAAAACGTAGCTAGATGTTGGGCCACACTCCTCAGCCTCCTCCACTCCATCTAAGCTGGATAAACTGGAGGCTTCACTTTGAACTCAGTCCTCCCTTTTCAGCCTCCAGCTCCACGCTGATCTGCTCCCGTGCTCAGTGCCGCAAGCCAGCCTTATACACCCGGTGTTCCCCATACACTCTGAACTGCTCTCATTTACTTTTCCATTTCATTTCACCCAATTTGTTTCCCTGGGCCCTCTGGAGCCATCCTGACCAGAGCCTCTGGATGCTATCACAATACAAACAATTCGAGGTGAAAAAGGCTGCGTTCTGAAAATGGAAGAGGACTCTTGGAAAGAATTTGAACCTTTCTAGAATAAATAAAACATCTTAAATGTTATTCAAATAACTTGCTTTCATCTCTCTTTTTATTTCCTTAAAGTTAATTGGAAAGAAAGAAAGAAGTCACCAGGACACGTTCCAGGAGTCTCCTTGGTATAAATCAGGCAGCACACACTGCAGACCAGTAACAATGAAATGACCCCTTAAAGTATTGCATTTCTTGCCAAGCATAACCTCTTCAGGCACTTTAAACTTTACCATTGGCTAGAATTTGAGAGCTGAAAGTCCGTCTTTTCCTAGTTGAAGTTGAGTAATGACTGAGACACGATTGAAGTTGAGGCACAGAGAAAGGAAAAAGGGCTAAAGCGACCCATCTCGGCTGCTGTTTTCAGTAGAAAAGCACGTCTGAGATTTAAGAAGGAGATACTCTCAGCCTATAAACCCCCAGATTCTCCTCCAGGGTTAGAACATCATATTCCCATCATCTGTAATTTGGGTGCATCTCTTTCCCAGGATGCCTGTAGAAATGACTTGCTGTATTGGGCCTATTTACTTCCAGACGAGATCCAGTCCTGGAGTGCTCAGCAAGCTGGAGGTGAAATGAAAGGGAAGGGGAAGGATCCACGTGGGACCTGGCTTGTGACAGACCCCTCCAGACTCTGCTCTAACGTCTTATTCCACCAACACAGAAATCGGAATCACAGCAGTCAGGCAGTTCTATTTACAAATGAGTGAAAAGCAAATACCACAGAGTTTTATTCCTCCCACTTTTCAAGTTTACAACTTCGTTACTGCAGTGCCTGTGCCCTTGATGGATTGGATTCTAATGGGACACAGGAAACACAAACAGATGACTAACATTAGCCAGTAAATGTAAGCACCAGGGAAAGCCAAAAATAGGTTGCTTTTAGCTCCTCCCATGTTATCCAGCAATTCAGAACAAGAAAAAACACTGAGAAAAAAAAAATCATAATTTGCTCTTAAATAGAACCTTCTGTTAGAGGGTATTGGAGCAGTGTATGACTGTTAAATATTTGGTACTAATGTGAGGAGTGTTTGATACCCAAGTGCAGGGGTAAAAATCCATCAGAAGAACAGTAGACAGCCAACCTGAATAAAAATGTATTGCACATGCGACTGTGGGTGTCACTGAAAACATGGAAAACATTTAGACAAGAAAATGAAAATACCTGAAATATAAAATTCTTTGTGTCAAAATATTTCAGAAAATCATTCCTCTTAAATATTTTTCCTTTAACTGCCTTCTGTTATGCAAATTAATAATAATCCACCTCTCCGCAATCCCCTCCTTCAAAAGAAAATGTGTTTGGCTCGACTGTGGCATTAAACAGATCTCCAGGTTTTGAGGGAGAAAATCCCAGCTGTTCTTCTACCTCTCCTGCTCACAAAACTCAAGTGGCTTTGTGCAGTTATTAACAAAATAACCACATGAAGTGGAACACTTCAAAAAAAAAAATCCAAAATAGTTTAAAAAAATGAGTAACTTTCCCCTGCATTCTGCACACTTCGTTGCTGTGCATGCTGAAGAGTAATTTGATACTAACAAGTCTCTTGCAGTTTGTCTTTTAGCATCTCTGCCTGTATTAAAAAGTATATAAATATAGGTATATTAAATCACCTCTGCATCAAATAACAGAAAATATTTTATCACATGAAGCGAGGTTCCTGACTAATCTGTGTGAAGACAACCATAAGGGACATGCACCAAGCAAGTAGAGATAAAGAAGAATGAATGCCTGTTTTCAGGGCTTCCTGCAGCTACACTTTCACATCAGTCTCCCAGCCCAGTTCACAAAATAAGCTGCTGCCATCTTATGGAAGAGACTCTGAAAAGCATTTGGTATAAAAACAGTCCTAGTCCTGATCTCTCTCTCCCTTTCTGCTTTTTTTTTCATGACATTCAGTTTACTGTGTGATTAATAATGACTTTTTTTTCCCCCTCCAGAATTTCCTTGCTTTGTAACTATGTCTATTGTACCGAGTTATTCTTTGTGGAAGTCACTTTCTCAGCTATGATTTTACTGTAATTTTCAGAGCATCCAGGAAGTCACATGGAGCAGTGCGCTGAGAAAGGGAGCAAACCAGCCAGCCTCTGAGTTCTGACACCACTTCACACAGAGGTTTCTTGTACTGCACCACAAAAGCCAGCTGGAGCCATTCAGCCACTACAGGATAAAGTCATCATTTTTGCTCAGTCTTAAGGAAGTCATTCTTTGTGCTCCATCCCTGGCCTTTTCTACGTGGTCTGCTTAAACCAGATTAACTAACAGTGTGATTTTTAACATGCTTACTAAGATAAATGAAAATATGCTAGTGTAAGCCTGAAGCCAGCAAGTATACAAGAATTTAATTTCTCCATCTATAAGCTATAGCTACATGTGCAGAACTTGAGGGAGCTTTGCAGAGTTATTTTGTCTAACTTATAAAAGGGAACACCTGCAAGCTTTTGTGTTACTGCGTGATAGAAAAGCAAGATTTCAGACACCTGAGAGAGGACAGCAGTCAGCAAGGCTAAGACATTGCTTTTGATTTAAATGTTCAAAATGACTATTAAGTTTTACACCATAACAAAAATTGTGAAGCTGTGGGAGTGTTTTTTTTGTTTTTTTTGTTTTTTTTTCCCAAAAAATTCCATGAAGTCAAGAAGTTACAGTGCTGTATCAGTATCCAGATAAGCAAATAAGAAAATCTGGAGACCAGCTATACACGCATAAGTCCCTGACAGTACAGTAGAAAGATGCTACAGTATTCCATTGGGAAAGAATGAAAGCATATTTTAATCAGTATGCAGCTAGCAGACATGAACCAGAGAGCAGAACTGGGACTGAAAGGCCTGCTAAGGATTTTATGTCCTTCAGAATTTCATGTAACTGTACAAAACAGATCGAATAAGGGACAAACGGCTACACAAGAGTAGTCAAAAGCCTGTCTTTAACTGAGGTTGGCCAGAAGGTAGCTGGCAGAATTAAATATTTTTAAATGCTGTTTATTGGAAAGAGGAAAATCTGGTTTCCTTCTTTGGGGCAAACATGCAGTAAGGGAAACGATGCAGGTTTTCAAAGAGTTTGACACATCATCATCAGGTAGGCTAAAGAAAAGTAGTGATATCAGTAAACACTATGTTCAATAGATCAAACTGACATTACTTACAAGGTAGATGTCAACCAGGAAGCTCAGACAGTAGTGCAGGCACAACACTGCAGACACTTCATTTTTATCAAGAGTTTGTAAAAATGTTAAGTTCGGAAGTCAAATGTTAAGCTCATTACAGCCACCAATAATAATAATAATAATAATAATAATAATAATAATAATAATAATAAATACAATTGATAGGCTGAGGAGAGGGGCAAGGAAACCCTATAAAGACATGAGGATCATTTGGTAAGATGAGCCTGCTGTAAGAGCATATATCGAGCTGTACATGTGCTGTACATCCAGCACATTATCTATACACCTTTCTTTCCAAGAGCAAAATCGTAACAGATCTGTTCTAATCCAGAGGAAGCATAACATCCTCTCTCTTACCTAAAACCATAGCGCTATAACAACAGTACACAACCACCCTTGGCTACACAAACTAATGGCTCCTGTGTTAAGCCATAATCCCTCTTTCCCCATACTCCAAGTGCCCCTAAGTGAAGTTCATCTATCTCATCACTGAACTTCTGAGAAGCTACCAATATCATACTAGAAGAACAGAACTGGTTGGCTTCACCCTGCGAGACCTCAGTCATGCCACTTCAAGCTGCAGGTTTCCTTGTCTCCCCGGGGGATTTTACACAAGTTTGTATCCAAATCCTCTGAAGCTATTTTGCCACCTAAATCCTTCTAGCAGCCTTGCAGTGACTTAGCAGGGAGAGCTCACATCCTGCAGTTATGGATCTCTGCAGATGCCCAAGACAGGCTGTCTTCCTTCTCTTATATCAGCCTGCACAGTCTCTTTTTGCAGTGTTTCTTAGTTATGCCTGCAGATATCTTATTACAATGTTCGTGTTGGTCTTTAAATAAAAATCCCAGCACTTTCATTGCCCCATATTAACTGAGAAATATAGAATTTCAGTGAGGAAAGAGACTATGGTTTCAAGGGTCCACTTAGTCTCTAATCAGACCATTGAAAAGATATTTAATATATATAAGGTATGAAAAACACATTGACTTTTGTCTTTGTCTTTTTAATATTTATTTTTTAGATTTTTCTAACTCGAAGCAGCTTCATTTAAAATGTTCTTTCTATAGTGCCCAATGTTTTCCTTGGCAAATTTGGAGAGCTGGGCTTAGGGATAAAAGTGAATTGCACCAAAAGACCAAAACGGGATTAGGAGATTTGACAGGACTTCATAAAAATCGGTCGTGCACAGGCAAAAGGGGAATTTTTCAACCTGTCATTTTAAAGATAAAGGCTCTGGAGGAAAGGGTTCTGCTTGGTGGCAAACTCCTCTAACCCCTGCAAAGCCTACAGGAAAGTCTACAAGGGAGGCAGAGGTTACAGAGCATGAGAACACACAAAATCACAGCTTAAAGGTATTTTATATGTGATTATGTATAATTTTTCATATGATGCACACATGCACTTGAGCAATTGCACAGTCCTAAAAATTGACTTTCATGTTAATTCTGCTTGCAAGCAGATTGGGGCTGGAGAAGGCAGAATGGGCTGGGTTCTGTCTTTAGCACTCACTTTTCATTTATCTCTTCCTAATTTTTTCCTTCACTTCTCCACATCAGTTAAGCTATATAAATTTCTGGGGATCCTGGGGAAAAAAGGGCAGGCTACTTGCAAGGTGGACTTCGTCCATACCATAGATGTAGGTCAAGCAGCAGAGCGCTTCTCTGCCAGCCCCTCTGCTATCACTGATGGTTTTGAAGGTGCAGGGTGGATTTCGGAGCGTGACAGGAGAAGACAGCACTCTTTCAACATGGTGCACGTTTCTGGAGTGCGATCGGAGCAGCAGAACATTAGAAGGTACGTAACCACTTGCGTAACAGATAGCAACAGTTTGCTTTAAATAGATGCCCTACAGAGACATCAAAGCAACCCTTCTTCCAGTGCTGCAATCGGGTGTTTGCAAATTATTACAAAACATCAGAGTATTCCTAGGATAAGCAGCTATTAAATTACATTTCTGCCTCAGCAGCACCATATCATTTCTCCCCTTCCCAATTTCAGCCATGCCTGTAAGATTGGACATCCCTAAAGCATTCTTTTATTCCTAAACTTACAATATACCTAGAACTTTCCACTGAGCATAGAGAAATCATGCTAATGACCATCACTTACACATGGTTGCTACCACACTGATAGCAGCAGCCACTCTAAAAGGATTTAAAGCACGGTGCTAGTGGGGCTAAAGGCTGTGGGGAGGCACACAGGGTCATCAAGCAATGGCACATGGGCCTGGGTGAGGACAGAAGTGTGAGCATAGAACAAATGAGAAAACATGAAGTTAAATAACTGAAGTGGAACTATTTTCAACTGTATGGTTTACTTGGGCTGAAAAAATGCTCAGCCAACATCTGCCAGAGAAATTAGGGACTCTTCATCATTTGTTTTCCCTTAATGTGTTTTGATGCATTTCCAAGTCCACTGACTCGATGCCTTCAGCAGGGCACTGCTGGCAGCAATGATCCCCAAGGATCTGCCTCCCCTCAGGAGTTCCTAGCAGCAATGCCAGAGCCTTTCAGGAATCAGCTAGGATGCAAAACTCCACCACAGGCATTCTGAAATATTCAGACTACCACAGGGTGATTGAGCTAAAAACTCAGCTTCTAATGGACAACAACAACAAAGCCCTAAAGATGTTTCCCTGTATAGGAAATAGGGCCACCAAAGTACAAAGCAGTTAAGCTGCTTTCCTTAGAGTCGCACTGATAATTAAGTCTATTACTAGGTTTAAGCTTTTTGATACTATTCGTATCCACAGAGACTGAGGCATGAAAGAAAGGTGCAGGCTCAGAGAGAGGTTACATTACTGGTTCTGTACTGGATTACACAAAAAGTGGAAAAACATTGAAAAGGCATCACTTTGCAACGAGCAGCTTTCCCGTCCAGTGAGAAATTTAACTGCTTCTTGTCATAAATGAAACAATCTTCTGCTTGGTTCCAGTCAGCACATAAGCATCACCTGGCAAACACTGCTTTCAGCGGGAGCCCCAGGGAAAGGAGCACGCTCTCCTTACAGAAAAGGAAATAAAGGTCGAAGAAAAGCAAAAGCATCCCCCACTGAGGTTCCAAAACAGTGGTAGAGGTCGTCTGTGGCAGCAATAAAATCATCACCGTTGGGTTTTGCTTAATAATATTTTAAAAGTGTGAATGGTTTGAGTTTACTCGATCCTTTCTTGGGGTAGAAAGACTACTGTGGTATCTTAAAGTGTTTTCCAGCTTCAGAAGACTGCTGCTCATATTTTAAAGGGTGAGAGAACTGAAGCATATCATTGCAAGCCTTCAGGTATCGCTACTCTCTGCCTAAAAGTTGCAGGAGAAACCCCATTGAACCTTTCTGATTGCTCTGGCTTCTTGTAGTTTGTCCCTCCTCTTCAGGCAAATGGAGAAGACCAAAAGATGGCTTTTTCTTTAAAGGAAGAAGAGTATAGCAAGCTGCATATTCTATGGTTAAACTCACCTTTTGGCTCAGCCCATCATATTTCATTACACATTTGCTTGTGAAATAACAAAAATTTCCTTCCTTCCCTGTGCCAGCAGCTCTGAGCCCTGTGCTGCTCCAGCTGCCTGCACCCAGCATCTGAACCCACTCCCAGATCTGTGCTAAGTCTATCGATGGTTTTCACACCCTTATTCATTTACCACGCTTGTACCTGGACTGCTCCATTTGTAGAGTGAGGCCCGGGCATTGAGAGCTGACACAAAAGGGCCCCATCACATCTGCTGGTTCCCACCTCGAAGCAGAGAAATGTGCTGCAACAACAGCTTCATCGCAGCCAGCCCACAGACCCGAAAAAGGACCTCCGTGCCTAAGCTCTCGTCTCTTCCAACTCGACCTGCTAATTTAATGTCTTCTCTCTCCTCCAAGCTTTGACTCAAACTCTAGGTCACAGAAAATGAGCATGAGTAATGCCTGCAGAGTCTTGAAAACCAATAATTTTTTAGTTCAAACACTACTGCCAAAGCTTGAATGCTGTTAGTGCTCCAACAGATTATCATGGAAACCATTTGAAAGACCATTATTAATACTTGAATACAAAACAGAAGGTCCTGTACCGAGCGAGGTTTGCTCTGCAACTTTTTTTCACTCCTTACATTTACACTCCACCACCCAGGAGGACATTTTAGCTCCCAGGCTCACAGAGCTCAACCACCCTCCAGCTCCAGCTCAGGATGAAAACTGCTCCGTACCCTTGCCTTGTGCAAGGACACCACGGCACACAGGAACTGAGTGCCATTCCCATTGGATCCTCAGGGTGAGCAGCCAGCAGAGCAAGACCCCAGCTCCACGGTTTTGAGGCACACAGCACAGACTGCCTCTAAGGACGGATTAAAACGTGGGAAGAGATAGGACGTTGCTATCTGTCAGCCTCCAAATCAGGAGAAGGCTACGTGCTCTTACTACTAAAAGTACATTTTTCTCCTACCTAGTACTTCCTACCCCTCCAAAAAAGCTACTCAGACTCACTCTAAAACAGTTACCCACACATCATCTTGTGCTCATGCAGTTGAGCTGCAGGAGGATTTTGCCAGCAATGTTGTCAGCAGCACTCCAAAGTGCAATCTTGCAGAGATTGCTAAACTTTTAGAGCAATTCTACCATTTTCAAGCCAACATTTTACTGCGTTTTCTTTATCAAATGAACAAAAAAAAAAAAAAACTAGAAACTGTATTTTACTGGTTGATTCTCTGAGGTGGTACACCTATGAATCTTTGAAAAATAAAGGTGGAAGTTTGACCACAAAATTTTCACTTTACCTTTAGACCTGGCCAACAACCACCTCATCTCCAACCTCCAGTTCCCCGATGCAGTGAGAAGCCTCGGGTCGCAATCAGGGATGTCTCTCATTCTGTGCACATCCCTGGCACACAGAGCCACCACCTTCAGCAGTTATCAAACAGAATCAGGCATTTATTTTTTTGGAAAATAGCAGAACGTGAGTCCCTGTGGCGCAATAGGCTAGCGCATTCGGCTGTTAACCGAAAGGTTGGTGGTTCGAGCCCACCCGGGGACGATGCCTCCCATTTTAAGGGCCACTGGGAACCTTATGAAACTCAACAAGAGGAAAGTGGAAGTGCTGCACCTTGGGAGGAACAACCCCAAGCAGCAGTATACTCAAAAGCTGTCCAGATGCGTGGTGCTGGGCAACCGACTCTAGGTGGCTCTGCTTGAGGAGGGAGTTGGAGAAGATGAAGTGCAGAGGACCCTTCCAACCTTGACCACGCTGCGTTCAAGATACTGAGAAATCTTAGTCAAGTCACATCTAGGCAGATGTTGTCTCTGTCCTCTGGCACCCTCATTACCCCGTGAATCAGGAACTTCACCTTTGATTTCAAACCAAGCTGAGGCATCATCAGTGTATCAAGCCCAACTCTTGCCTCCAGTAGAGTCAGCCTCGCTTCTGTTCTTGTGGAGGAGATCTAGCTGCAGGCTTCGTATCATTGTCATCATTATCTACCTTGAATTGCAGTAATTCATTACATTTGAAGATGAGTTTCAAACATATTTAACTGTGGATAACATTATTAAAATATTTTTATATTTTAATTCGCAGTTTGGACTATTGCTACCTTTCATCCCTGAGCCCTACTTGCTCCTATTCCTAAAAAGCAGTAAATGGCTCAAGCTTAAGTTACGTTAAAGTTTCGTGCTGACATCAACATTGCTGTTGAAAGGATCCAACCAGAAGACACTTACAGAGCCAAATAAACCCAGAGCTGATCATCCCACAGAAAACACTAGAAAAGATTCTAATCGCCAAACACTTTTTGTTGTTGTTTTTAAGGCTTCTGTGGTTTTGTTTTTGGAGCTTGTAAGATAACAGAAGCAGAGCCACAGAGTTCTGGAACTTCAATAGGAATTTTGCTATCACTTCATGTAAGATGTGCATAGATGCTACAGAAAGTAGTATTATGAGGAGAGATCTTTGGTAGTTAACCATGAGCATTTCAATTTAAGCAGAAAGGACCAGATGTTACTCTGGCACAAGCATAGGGTCAAAATTTCTTACTCCTGCATTAAAAGCGGCCACAGAAAGCAAGCACACAGCAGTTTGGAAACACAGCTTCACAGTTCTGTGCCTGTATAAGCCTTCAATTTTTAATTAAGGTGCCACAGGTACTCATGAGCAAGGTATGTAGAAACCTTACAAAATGAGACAGGTTTAATGGAGTGCTTCTCCCACCCCCCGAAATTTAACACTGCTGGAAAATGACCAGGAAAAACACTTTATGTTTTGCCCTTGAAGGCTCAACTACATCTATAAACCATGCAACAATTTACCTGGCAACACACAGAACCCCGTATTAATGCAGATACTTGACACCTCCATCAAGGACAGTGAGACACTAAAATTACTACAGGAGTTTCGAACAAGATAGCACAGGCAGGCTGGACGCAGTGCGTGGAGCATTTATATCAGCCCTCCAGTAGCTAAAGAGCAGTAACTCGTGCTGTTCACAGCACAGGCCGGCCAAGTTTTGCAAGTGTTTAATAAAAAAAAACACATCCAGTTTATCCTCAAAACATGAAATTATTACACTACTCAAAACCATAGGACAGGATGAGAAGAATTATTGCAATTCACTATGTATCTTTCAGGTAGCTGGCAGACAAGGAAAAACAAAATGAAGCATACAGATCAGTTGCCACTGCAGTATGTAATGGTGGCAAGAACACCACTGCTTCCTGAAGTCCTGCCAAGGTTGACGAGACAGTTGATGGTATTGTTTAGGGACTTACTGAATTGACATTTTCATTTTGTTAAGGCTCACTTTGAGCCAGCTGCTGATCTCATTATTGCAGGAGAACAGGAAAAGTGATGCTGTCCTTTGGATAAAAGCCCTGCTAGCAGAAATATTAGACTGATAAAAAGAGCATCTTGAAGCCTCCACCAAAAGCCTGTCCCATCTCCCTTCCTAAAAACCATAGAAGAGGTAATCCAAGACAAAACCATAACAACACTGGGTAATATTCACAGGTGTAAATGATCCAACTGCTCTGCCATATTATTCCAGGCTGTTGTAAAGGTTATAACCTCTGCCAGCCACAAGTCAATGTTTTTAATATTGAAAACAGAGTAAATGAACTGGAAATAACCTAAGGTTTAATTCTGTTTCATGATCACGTAAGACTTCTCAGCTATCTCACTCCAGTTCAGTGCTTTCATATAAAAACCATCTGCCCTGGAAATGGACACATTCTCATTACCTAATGAAAAACAATAGCTATCCCCTTCATCCCTCAGCTACTTATGGAGGTAGACTGAACAATCTGTTATGCATACTTCTAACAGCAAATAGCCTTAAACTGGTATTAAGAAATTGCGATGCAGCTTGTGATAGTTTTAGACATAGTTGCATGACAGCCAAAACAGTGAAAGTGCACTTGGAAAAAATACTGATACGATTCTGACCTGCAAAGAAAACATTGGAAGTATGGTAACAGCCTCATTTGAAAGATGGCAATCAAAAACAAAATAAAGGGTTCAAAACAAAGAATGTAGCAGAGCTAAATTGATGCTAAATTTGCTCTGAAGTACAGGAAGCACAGGAACCTACCACCCTCCAATATGCTCTTCTTGAGGAAGGAGAGCAGTGAAACTCTAGGAAAAGCCATTCCCCACACACATAGCTGAACAGGTTTAAAAGAGGAAAGATAGAAAAGCTTGTCGCAAGTCAATTAGAAAGTGCCTTTAAAAAAAAAAAAATACAAGACAGCTAAATGTTCTGAGTCTTACTAAGTAGATTACTAAGTAGGCTGTTTCAGAATACTCCTCCCCAACCCCCCTCCAACCTCTCAAAAGAATTTGCAGGGAAAGAAGGAGCAAATGAGTTTATTCTTCACAGAACAATCCCCGCTATTCAGAGTACCCTGCAGTTCCTCCCTTTGGGAAGGGAAGCTGTCAGATCTGGCAAAGTCAGAATAAAAGATGAATCCTGGTCCTGTGATAAAAGGACCTTTCTAAGATAAACTAAAAATTAAATCTCTTCCTTATATAGGGATGTATCCAGACTGAAGGAAAAAACAGGTCTGGCAATAAATTACAGGCCTCTGCCTGTATTACGATACTTGCCCAAAATTACTGAAATTAAAACTGAGTAAGTTTATATTATGTTTCCACAAGTTTCCTCTACTACTAACATACACAGAACTGGTAACCAGTGGCCTCAATACTAACAAATAAGATTGGTTCAGCCCACATATTCTGCATTACGAAACAGTAATACAAAGCTAATGTTTTAATACAATATGTATGTGTATTTAATATCAATTACATGTACATATTTAAATTATCCTACTACATTAACAATACTATAGATACAATATTTGGTAAAAACAACTAGCACGGTTAAGTCTTCAAATTTGGTATTGTTTTCTAGCAAGTGTCAAACAATAGAAAACCAAATTTCCATGTGAAAAGTGTATTTTAACAGAAGCAGCCAAGACCTGCTGCAAAATACAGATCATGTATGCTAACATGTACACAAAACCTTGCAGTAATAAAAGGTAGTCATTCACTGTATTTACAAGAAATTGCCCAATAGTTCGGTTACTGATTGCACTACAGTGATTATTAAAAAAAATTTAAAATCAACACAGCATCCTCATCTCGTCCTTCAAAACTCAGAAAAAATTCCTGTGTGAGAAGTGACCTTGTTTAAATTGCACGTGCTGGAAAATATACAACTCTACAATAGAAAGAGGTTAGAAAAGTTGAACACTGTGGAAAAAAAATTTATTAGCCTATACAAGTCTTCTGAAACAAACCATTGGCTCTGGTACAGTAAATTCAAGTGAATACTCATTGCAATAGTATTTTCCATACAGAAGCCCTAGAGCTTCCCACTTAGTGTCTGTGACAGGAAGTTATATTTCTGAACAGGTAGTCACACAAAGCAGACATGTAATAGAGGTCTTCACAGCCATAGTGAGCTACAGTTTGAGATAGTTATATTACAAACATTTAAGAAAATTAGGCATCTGTACCGAAGTGTGGCAAATTGATTCACAATGAAAGAACAAAGATGTCATTTAGACCCCGTGCCAAAATGAAGACTTTCTACAGCAGGTCTAGGGTAGACTGCATAATAAAAACTTAGAGTGCAAGAGTACCACAAGTTTAGTATATAAATATCACAGGATTAAAACTCCAGTTAAGCCATCAACTGAAGTGATGATTAAAAAGAAAAAAGGGCATCTCCCAGCTTTGCAAAAGAAGCTCTCAAAGCATCTCTTCCAGAAGGTGCTGATACCAACTATGGCCTGTGCCAATTTGTGTTTTAGACAGCTCTGCTGAAAGAAAAATTCAGCATTTGTCTAAAAGCTGTATAATCATGCTGTTTTTAATATCATAAAAAGCATCAACTAGAAGAGATGAAATGTAATATAGCTGACATTGTTTTTAAGATCTGTGCACACTATATAGTTCTGTAATTTAAACAGTATTTAAAAACAAGAGAAAAAGCAGACAATGTAGAGATGTTTTAGATGGACTTGTTTAGAATAGTTACATGATGGATGTATACAGCCAAAACTTTTAGTGCATTTGTTCTTGCACGTTATTTATGCTACTTATAAAAACCTGAAGATCGCAAATTGGGCATGCTTACCATAACATTTTCAAACTGGGAAAGCTGCAGAACAATTTTCCTACTAGTGTTCACTGCCATGATACAAAACAATTATGTGCAAACTGCAAGGTCCCTAAAAATAGCATTTCATGAATTTATTTACAGAAAGATGTCGCTATCTGTTTAAATATGCAAATAATAAGCTTCCCAAAGTTTATAACATAGAACAATATCCACCGCACGCGCTTCCTGCATATCCTTCTTCCTTGTTTGTTAATTTTACACCTCTGTTTTGGCTCTCACTCTCCCACAGTCCCGGAGTCTGAATGATTTTTTCAACGAGTTCTTCAAAGGCACACTGTACACCATCACATGTTTTTGCGCTTGCCTCTGGAAAAGGGACACAAGAAGTCAAATGTTAGCATAGCTTCCAATAACTTCAGTATTTTTTTCTTTCAGTTAAGTCTTAACCTACCACCTAGACTTGTAACTTCTACAACAAATACTGTAATATGTAGCAGTGCCAGAATTAGCAGGAATGCAGATTTTTGTTTGCCACAAAGTCTTTTGAGCTGCTGCTTTATTAAAAGAGCTTTCAAACTGAATGTCACTAGAATACATGGAAGCAGGTTATCTTTTTCTGTGGAAAGCAGTTCAATAAAGGGAAGAAAGTCTGAAAAACCTGGTTGCTTTAAGAAATTAAGTACTACTACATCTTAAGAAGCAAAGGACTCCCTATTGTAGGATTCTAAGTCAGCCTCCATAGAACTATTCTGATAAAAAGCAATAAGGGATCTCATTTCTTCAGCAGTTAGCATTATTCTTGGTAATCTCATCCAGGAGCCTTTCTTTCATTAAACTCAAGGAACATTGCTTACAGTGTATATTATGTGAGCAAACAGATACCATCTGTAACTGTTCAATTCCACTAAGGCTTGCCCTGTTCTTCTATACAGCCACGCAGACACTTAGCTCACATGCACATGTATACCTATTTTCAGTTTCACATTTCTTTATATCTTCCATGTACTTAACAGCTTATGCCTCAACTTTGAGCTTTTTCCATTTTCACATCTGACAATGAAGCCAGAAAGAAACACTGCAGGATTCTAGACAAAGAAATGTCTTTAGTCAAAGATGAGGAACACAAGTTGAAGTACAGGACATGTCAGTGAACTGCTTTGGTACTGGAATCATCCTATAGAGTATTCATTGCTGATCCTTAAATGAAACAGGTAATAAACTTGTGCATGAAGAATCACTTCACCACCCACTTTTACTTTATCATTACAAGGCTTTGCCTACAAAACCCATCTCATTTGCAAGAAAGATGAGACCAGCATCTTTCCTTCAGTCATGCCTATGCCACTATTCCAACCCACCCACCATTTACAAGTTAATTATATTCCCACCTATTTTTATATCCAAGTTCTAATGCAGATTTGTCACGTACCAGCTCTTTGCTGAAGAGCTGAAATACTGAAATAAAGTACTGAATACTGCATACTGAAAGCTGGTTATTAGTACTAGTTTTCCCTCTTTCATTTTGCATCCGTTATTAACTCAACAACTAGGCCTGGACCAAAAAATAAATAAAAAAACAAAGCAAAAACAGGTTTTGTCAGACTACGGTAGATACTGTACTCCACTCTTAATCCTTACTGACCACTTCAGTATATTCATCCACAGTTAGACTAGACTTTTGGACATATTTAAAGACAGTTTTAAAGAAGGGTATATCTATCATCTTTGTACCTACTGCAGCTGAGAAATACCACTAGCTGAACTGCATGTATAAAAACTATGCATCCTACAGAAATAATACTTTCATTATGTAAAAACAACAAAAAAGTAGAATCTCTGCAAATGCATGTAACTTACCTATGAACAACATGGAATGTTTTCTTGCAAATTTGAGACCTTCATTTCTGTCAACTTCACGGTTTTCCTGTAAGACACAGTATTAATATGTATTGTTAACAAAATATACCAACAGAATGCTCACTGCAGCTGAATTCAGTTTACCTTATCAATCTTGTTTCCAACGAGCATTTTCACTATGTCGTTCCTTGTGCAGTACGTTTCCAGTTCATTTAACCAGTTATCCAGCTTGGCAAAAGTATCTCTTCTTGTGACATCGTAAACTGAAAGATAGCAGCAATATTAAGTCACAATATCATTCCACAATGCAAAGAAATAGAGTTTACATTTGAAAAGGTATAAGAATAATGTTTTTTGAACTAGAAAACCAAAGGAGCCTGAAGAATTCCAGTTCACATTTCATTCACCAGTTCCAATCTTATAGTTGCTCTGCATTAGTACCTACTATTCTCAGATTAATTTATGTTTAGACATCTTAGTTTAGATGACAGAGTCTACCATTCTCCAAAGAATCCTACACCTGCAAACCCCTGATACAGGATACTTGTTAACACCAGTATGTCTGTCCACACCTCTCTTTACACCACCAAGGCTGTGGACTCTACCACTCACTTCCCTGGGCAGCCCATTCCAATGCTTGATCACACTCTCCATGAAGAAATTGTTCTGAATATCCAACCTAAGCCTCCCCTGCCACAACTCGAGACCCATTTCCTTGTATACTGTCACTTGTCACCTGAAAAGAGAGACCAACACCCTCCTTGCTGCAACTTCTTTTCAGGCAGTTCTACAGAGCAATGAGGTCTTCCCTCAGTCTCATCTTCTCCAGACTAAAACAATCACAGTTCCTTCAGTCAGTCCTCATTTAGCCAACAAAGTAAAATGACCACCAAATCCTCACAAATGCTAATAAAATACAGAATCCTCGGCATTTTAGCGTTCCAAGCTACTTAGCACATGTATGGGATATAAGTTATAAGAGGCACCAGGAGCAGAAAGGGCAGACAGAAAGCAGACTTTGTTAGTCACTGCCTAGTGAAATTTAGATCTAATAATGGCAATTTCAAGCTGTGAAAATCTTTTTTCCTTCACTCTTATTTCCCATGTGCTGATGGACACAAACAGTTGGTTTCAATCAAACCTATAGTTTGGCTTGCAAGAACAGCCTTATTTCTAGGGAGCTGTTTAGTAAAGAAATAAACGGAGATTTTTATTTATTTATTTATTTATTTTAAGTTAGAGGACTAATCTCAACAGCAGAACTTTCTAGCTTCTAAATAGCGCTTGCTTACTTTTAAAGCTTTCAACACTAAGTGGCAAGTTCAGTGACAGTGACCAAGTAACTTGACAAGACATGCCTCGACAGCACCTTCCTACAGCAGGAAGATAATGGAACTCAAACTTGAGAAACAGCATGTACAAAACCAAACCTACCAGGAAGTCATGGCACAGGTTATTCTAAATTAAACAGTTGGACTGGACACAATAATTGAAAGAGGTTTAGTCAAGAATCTCTAAAATCAGAGAAAACAAAACAACAGAAAAACACCATTCCCTGCCCTTAATCTCTTTAATTAGCTCTTTAATTCTAGCAGGGGAACAGCAGAACTTCATAGGTCAGTGCCTAAAATCAAGGTTTTTTATATAGGCTCTCCTATACAAAACAAAAACAAGAGATACTTCACTACGTAGTTGCAATTACGGGTTTTGTGCAGACTGATGCATTGTATCTTCCAAGCTAATCTGATTCTGTAAGATCACAGCAGTACAGAGACTCAAATAGCAAAAAAAGTCCCAGCCAAATTCCACCACGTTTACAGTAATTTCATTAGAAAAAAATGAGTTGTTTTTTTTTTTTGGACTCTTGGCTTAGTAAGCATGGGCATAAGACAGAATTAGCTATCAGTGGGCAAATTCCTGGCAGTACAAGGAGAGCTCCAAGCTATCCCTTTGAAAAGCAGCACCTTTTAAACTCCTGCAAAAATCTGTGGTTCTCAGAATGGTGAGAAAGACTACCCAAGAAATTGGTAAGGCATCAAACTCCAGACCATTTAGATTGTGAGCTGTTCAAGACACATAACAACTATTAATACTGATTCACCATTATAGAAAGGTGAGTTTGCATAGCCCCAATGCACAAGAAAAACACCAACTTACTCAAAATAGCAGGTAAAGGAATACTTACCTAGGATAACACCTTGTGCACCTCTGTAGTAACTGGGTGTTAGAGTTCTGAACCTTTCCTGACCCGCAGTATCCTGAAAAGCCATTCAGAAAGTTTCATTATTCAGAATCTGAGCAGAACTTAGCTCTCAGCTCTTTAGCTCTCAGGTATCCTGCTTATAGCAAACACAAAATAAGATTCAGAGTCAGTTAGCACACACAACTAGCTGAATAACTGAATTTATGGCTGCCCGTCATTTTACTGCGCATTAACTTTGAGATTCTGTGTAGTCTGTTCTGGGAAACACATTTAAACTGTTAAGTGTAGTGAATAACTGGGCTATATAACGATGAGATAGTTATTTCTGCTGAAACATTTGTTGTGCAGCTAGCAGGGCAGCAGCCAGCCAGAAAGCAGCACTCTAAGATTTTATAACAAGCGTCAAAACCGATGGCCACAAAAGCAGTTCCCTCACTTCTAACACCTCCATCCACACAGCCACAGTAAATGCATTTAACATGCTATGACAGAGCAGAAGCAGAAAAGTATTTTCTGTTTGTTATTAAACAAAGTTGCATTTACAACCTCAAATCTGAAGTGTCAACAGTTTTGCAAAAAAGAAAGTATTAGAATGCTGATTTCTCATCAGAGATGAAGTTATTGTACACACTACCTCAGCATTATACACACTGCAGATTTTATGCACCAAAGATTTAAATTAACTTCATCCACATTACCCCAGGTTAGAAGCTTACTTAAACTTTTTGTCAACTGAAGTCACCTTCATAAAAAAAATAAAATGCATCAAGAGAACGAACAACCCCACAACCTTTTCAAGGCATGAAATGCTGGGGGTTCAAAATGGTTCCCTGCCAAAGAACCTGAACAACTCTACTTGGCTTTCTGAGTTTCTACAAGTCACTCACTGAATCCTACACATATCAAGCTATTTTTGTGTCATGATGCAGCTTTCCATGCCTTTCATTTCCAGTTTACCTCAGAGTTACTTCTTCCTAGTCACCAACTGGCAAGTTGTTGCAGGTTTTTTTTTCCTTGTCAAGCCTACATTCTAGTGAAGATTACTATTTTCACATCAAGGCAGAAGTCCCACTTCTTACTTGAGATGTGATGCCCTTTCAAAGCACCATAACTGTAATGGATATTTTATGTTCCACTACTTTCCAAGGAAGCTGAGAATCAAGGTTTTGTTGTTTCTTGCTACAGAAGTTTGAGCTTGAATACTCAAAAGGTTCTTCAAGTCACACAAGTTTGGAGCTGCTTTGCAGAATGGAGTATGTAGAGAAAAAGTACTTTTTCTTCCTTCACTTGCCATGAATCTGGAAGCCTTACTTTTAACTAAAGCAAATGCTGAACACTAACGCTAAGACAACAAAAACTCTGCCTCTCCCTTTTTCAGCTGCATCTGCTACAAATAACAATGACTCAAGCCTGTAAGTCTGTGTGAAAATAACATTTTTAGGCTACATTACTTTAAGAGGTAACATTTCTGAGCATAATTTGAGCATACAACACAGTAGTTCTCAATTAGTATACTACTAAATTTCACCTAAACCATTTAGGTTAAGAACCATATCCTTTTAAAAGCTGTCAAGCACAGAGAAGAACCATGCATGCAGGTAAGTCTCTGATCAGTAAGGACAATAGCTGCATTTTCAAATGTTCTATAAAGACATAACATCAGGCAGGTAAGCATACTCTTTAGAAGTTAAACGATGTTTCACACACTTAAAAAAATAATCTAGGAATAGCCATATTCATACTTTCAAAGTCTGAGTGGTTCAGTACCATCCTACTCCTTCTCCTCTCAGGAGAAGACCACCCGGAATCAGTACTGCACAAGAAGGGGACAGGCAACAGAACTGCCCCATTAGTCAACTGTCCACAGGTCATTCCACTTTCTGAATGGTCCAGGATTAACCTCCCACTCCTCCAAGTTGCCTTCATATTAAAAAAGATTCTATACAACTTAGACATCATACAAGCCACCATTATTCCTGAAACAAAGCAATATGTTAGTAACACAGGCAACACTTACCCATATCGCTAGTTTAGCTTTGTTTCCATCAACTGAGATAGTTTTCACCTTGAAGTCCACACCTAGGGAAGAAAAAAAAAAAAGTCTTTGAGTTCTTCAAATATACTCCATATTTTTGGAAGAGGAAAAAAAAAAGCTCAGAAAAAAAGCTGTGGTCTGACAGGAGTAATAAGAGAGCAAGGTATTGAAGTAACCAGTGAAACTTAAAGCTCATAAGGTTGTACAGATTTTGTAAAAGCCCAAGTTTAGGCCATTAACTCAAATATTATATGGAAGTGAGGCAAAAAAATCCTTTCCAATATTAAAATACATATTTCAGAGCAAGTGTTCGAGTCTTTAATCAAATGGGTTAACTTTCTATTCATTATTCATTATTCATATATGTATTCTCCTTGAGCATGTCACTGGTCTCGAACAAAATACTTCCAAAATAAAGGAGCAAACTGTATTCAGGCAGGAAACAGAGCAAATCTCTCATCATCTCAAACTATCTAATCAAGTCCCATCAAGGTGGTCAGCGAGAGGTAAACTGGCACAGGCAGAGAATTAGAAATCCATCTGATCTATGACCACTGTCCTGTGAGAAATAACGTTTGATGACAGCAATTCCTCTAACAGGCACACCAAATAAGCCCCAGATGACTTGAACATGCAGTATGCCTCTTATCAGGATTCCAGCAACATCAGGGACTCTCTGGTATCACACACAGCGACCAAGAAATGAACAGACAACAACAGTTCTTCTGTTGATAACATACCTCAACATCTGAGGATATTTTTAATTTATTTTTAAATGTGTGGGAGCTAACAGCCTATCACTTACCCGAGGACAGAGAGTACAAAACTCAAGCCATGGAGGACAAAATAATGACTGCACAAAGCTAAAAGACAGGTAATACAAGCAAGTTCAAGAGGCCAGGTACGGTCACGTTCCATTTTACTCTCCACCAGACTGTAGCCCTGAAATTAGGTAGAGTAGTTTTGTGGAAATTTAACAGCTTTATGTGGAAAAGACTTTCCAGTTTAACAGAAAAGTTTTTTGCATTTTGAGTTAAGGTAGCACTGTATTTGCTATAAGAAATTCTGTTTTAGTTATTCTAACAGAACATTAAGTAGGGCTTCAAGATAAGTGTGCTGCACTTACATTCCCAAGGCCATGCAGATTACAAACAAGTCTAAGTGGCTGCCAAAAGCACTCAATTTATAAAACCACAGAGAGGACATGGGATGCCTAAAAAACAGTACATTGCAAGCAGATTTACAAAGTCACTACAGCTGACGTTTAAAAGAGCTTCATTAAAAAATAATGAATTTATATTACACTATTTCATAGCTTGAGCTTACTAGTTTTCCTTGAACAGATATCTTTATCTAAGAACAGATAAAAGCTAGTCAACTGTGACTGCATTCTGCACTGGAAAGAGCCCCTACTCTTACTTTAAGTAAAATTTTGGCAACGTACTTTAACATTTGCAGTAACTGCACAGAGCTCTCAGTTTTTCAGAGGCTAAGACTCTTAATCTCCAACTAAGCAGTAAAATAACGCATTACTCCATGCACATAGATGGCGCTTTATTTTAGTTATGTTCAAAAAACCTGCCACTATTAACTTTCTTCTTTTAAACACCAGTTCTTAGAACTTTACCTAATTCTCAGAACATTGCTATGCTAGCAAGTTTCCTCAACATGATCCTAAAGAACATCCTGTCATGCCAATTTTGTGGCATTTAGCAGTAACTTCCAGACTAACACCATCTCTTCTTCCACAGCAATGGCATATTTCTTTCCCTGAACTATAAATACCACCATAGCTCAGCTAGGATATCCAACTGCCCGCAGTGCATTCATTTACCCATTAACCTGACATCAAAATCTGTAACTGTAGGTATTACAAGTCTATCAGATCCATACCATAAATCAAAAGCATGTCACAGTAGCTTTCAGAAGGAATTTTCTCTTCCTTAGAGCAAACATTAACTGCCTTTTGAAGCCAGGGTACCCTGCTCCCACTAGGCAAATAGCCCCAGCATCTCGTGCCTGTGCAGTTCCGCAATTTTCATTTAATGCCTGTGCACCTTGAAGTTAATTTTAAGCTGGCAGCAAGCTTAAGAGATAATGCTATAAATTTTGCATGAGCAATATGAGTAAATTAAGAAACTTAGCAAATAAATCCCACGTATTACAGACTCCTGAAAGAAGTATGAAAATTAACAAAGAGCACAGTAAAATATATCCTTTCAGATGATAAAGACATGGCAAAAATTCTAGCAAACAGAGGAATACAACACATACAAAAGCCACTTAAGGAAAATAAATCTTTTAACTAGCTGGGTTTTTGATAATCGATTGTCTATAGGAGGAGACAGAAAACTGCAGTGCCCAACAAAATCAGGTTAAACTGAACGAGCTGGGTATGCGTGTTCTCTAAGGCTTCAGTGAAACGCAGACATGTTTGTGTGACAAGAGTCAGCTCTAAGCTTGCAAGACGAGGGACATTTCTAGCCCCGACAACAGAAGGCTGGCGGTGCTTTCCACCATGCCCTGGAAGGCAGCCAGAAAGGAGACACCGTGCTCCTGCGTGCTGGCACCTACTGCCCTCCCAAATGGACTCAGCACTACACGCCAGCACGCTACGGACTCAAGGTCTGCAAGTAGCTGTCACTTTCACACTGCCCTCCCTTTTAGGAGAGCTGTATTTACACCAAGGGCAAAATCAGCCGGAGCTTATTGGTGTTAAGGGTAGCTGACAACTTGGACATCTGGGAGTTGCAGGACTCCAAGTGCAAGGAAGGCCAAAAAGTTATGAGAGGCTTGTATGCAATACATTGCTTCGCTTATGAAACAAGGCTTCCATTTAGCATTTTATCTAGAATCGTTCACATGAGGAACAAGTAAAGACAAGTATGAGCAGTGAGGACAATAGAAAATATCAGGGTATAATGACCCATTAGATGAAGCCCTGTGAACAAGTTTGCCTCAGAAGGATGCAAGGATGACAGCGATCTGGTAGGCTGAGTAAGACATGGTTAATCCAGCAGAAGCTATTGAAATCAAAATATTTGTCGAAGTCACCTCATACTCCTGAGGGAAACACGGGATTTTTAGAAAATCTGGAATAAAAAAAAAAACAAAACACTATACAAATCATCAGTATAGGGTTTAATTTAAATTGCACCCAGTAGGTGTAGGTTTGTGCAAGACACAAAAATAATGTGTCCTTACATCTCAGCAGGCAAGGGAACAGTCATGCTGCAGTCAAGCCTTAACCCAGGCTCATGTTTTCATATTTATTTTCTAAAAAAAGACAGACATAACACCTTCTTCTCACTTTTTTCTCCAAGCAAGAACTATAGTTCAGCAGTGAGTAGAGATGACATTATTTGTAGTCAGTACACACATTTTGGAAAAGCACAGTACTCTGCAGTCTCAACATACAGACCTTAACATTAAAAACCCTTCTGTCCCCAAACTCAAAGTGAAATAGTGTTTAATCAGCACAAAAAGAGATCCAAGCCCAGATTCACAAAACATTTTGGCATCTCACCATCTTGCAAATCCCAAAGTTTTGCAGCTGCGATCTGTCCTTATGTAGCAATAAGAACTCACTCACAAATACTTTATCTATATGAACAACAAATCCTGTCCTGAATCAAGAGCTGAGACGTTGCCTCTCAGTAATACAATCACCAGAAAAATGGAAATGCCACAGCCTAGCGCTAGGACAAAAGGAAACTGCTATTCCTCAAGTGCTCTACACACCATGCTACATACCTTTCACAGTTGGGGCTGCAAAAGCTCTACTCCACAACACTTTACCAACACCAGCTGGAGGGGACCAGCTGGGGCAGTTTGTAGAGACTAAAAGGATTGCCTTCATCACCTTTTCTTTTTTAAAAAGAAAATGATCACATTCATTCCAGGTTAGTATATTCGTTTGAGTACTCTGTAGTGTGTAAGTTTTATACGAGCATGAGTTCATTCGACTTTCCTACGTCAGAAGCAGCACCCTACCCTGAGGATGTAACGTAACCATGAGTTACAGCTACTGAACAGCCAACAGTTAGCTACCACGCATGCTGCTGTGCAGCAAGATAAATCCCAAAGAAAAGGAATTACTTCAGGAAATATGTACTTAGTTTCTTAAATAAGTTCACTGACGTCAAGTTTTGACACTGGTAAAAAGTCTCATGTACAAACAGCAGATGTTAAGACCACTGAAACACTCCATGCATTCCTCCATTTTTTCCTTTCAGCTCAAAGTTGCATCATGACCAACATTTTCCTTTTAACATCATTTAACTTGCTCATGGAACTTTATCATACTTCCTAGCAAAATTGCTATTAAAACTGCTATTACCTGTCACAAACCACAAAGCCTAACTTCAGTAGATTTAGGTCAATACTGAGTAAACAGAATACCGGTCCTGTACATCATCCAATTGAAGATGAGCACAGTGACACTGGACTACCTGAAGACTATTTTATTTTTTAGAACAACCAAATTAATTTGCATCTTCAATGCACAAACCAGCAATTATTTCTTCATGGCCTACACTGGTCAAAGGGAAACAGCAGCCGCTTAAATGAGTGTTTTGTCCTTTCTGGAACAAATTAAAATAGTTCTTTTGCTGATGAAGCACTGTATTCAGGCTTGATGGCACAGGAAAACTAGCATTTACAAGTCCAATGCCAGCTCTGAAATTTTGCCATTGCCTTGTTAGAGAGATATATAAAGTTAGATTATAGGTGGTATAAAAATATCTCGATCTGTGAGTGGATTTCAGTATTTCCTGAAGTTAAAAAGCCTTCAAAAAGCCACGATCGTTTGGTTTCTGGAGAGGTCAGCAGTGTACGATGTCACTCTGATTTTAAGTGGGCCAGCAGGCAGTACTGCATCAGTAACATCAGTTGGAAAAACACAGCTTTGATGTCTGCTCAGGAAACTATACAACCTTACCAGGAAAGCCTTAGCAGTGCTTCATAGCATATGCCTGTTTACTGCCTTTGCATACAATCATTCTCCAACCTTAACATGCTTATAGCGGGGATTCCCAGGTGGAAAGGAGAAGCAAAGCAAGAAAAGGTTGAGTAAACAGCATCGATACACATCCTGTCAATTCCTTATCACAGTGTTTCTCAATGCCCCACGTGAAACAGCACTCCTGTACCTTATCCACATCAGTGAAAAACAGATCAATTTATTTACTTCTGAACCAATTAGGCAGAGCTGACTGAGTATCAGCAGCTGAACTTAGGGAATTTTTTAATCCAAGTCCTCAGCCAGAACTCTTCCTACAAAGGAAGTAGGAAAGTCTGTGTTTTGTTTGGTTGTGTTTTGTTTTTTTTTTGCTGCAATACATTATATGGAAAAGTCACCTTTATTTTCCAATACAGCAGTTACTCATTTGGGACAGACTGACAAAGGATGCAAAATGTAACTTCTAAGAACATGATGCAGCCATCTCACAGCGTATCCCACACTCTGCGTTACTCTCCTCTAGCACAATTGATTTCACTGCTGGAAGGCATCACATTAACACAGCATGACACGTCACTCCTTTTTTCCCCAGCAGCTCTAGATTCTTGGCTCTTTCTGTATTATTTTTTTCATTTTCAAGAGTATTAGCTGCCAAGGAACTGCTTACTAACTAGGAGAGAAAAAAAAAATCATTGTAATTTCTTCCCTCTAGAAGAAAAGCAGAAGCCACACGTTGTGTAGTGCACTCTAGTATTGTTGGAAGTTGCAAAAACTGACATCCTCTAATAGAGTCCTAAGTACTCTTAGCACTTAAGCTCCCCGAGTATCTTGTTACATAGAACAAGTTCTGGACAGCAATGTTACTACTCAAACACAAACAGAAGTGATAAATCAGTAGGAGACATAACAGTTGCTGCTATATTTCCATTTTAGCATGAATTGCTGGCAAACACTGAACTGCAGATTGCTGTACTAGACCTTTCCTCTACCCATACTTACAGCTTCCACCTTCATGAGCAATAACATTTACATCTGTTTCCTTAGCCAAGGCAATATTTCACCACAAAGGGGACAACTGCAGCCCAGCACAGACAATACTCTGCACCAATTAGTGCTACACGTTAAAACTGCGTCCACATCACTCTTTCCTCACAGAACCAAGATGACTGAATTTTGTTACCGGTTTGGCAAGTCTGAACTAACTACTGTTTTGTACTGCAGCTGGTACACATTTTTTTCAGGTAGCATCAGCACATACTTACCAATTGTTGCTGCAAGTTCCGGGTCAAATGTATCATCTGTGAATCGCAGCAGAAGGCTGATAGGGATGAAGGAAAAAGAAGAGTTAGCATTGGTTACTGCAGGACAGCCACAGGAACCAGGAGCCTGTAAATTATAAGTCTGAAAGTATCAGCGAGACCACAGAGCTAAATAAAAATACGCCCCATTTTCCATCCCTTCCATCCTATACAAAACAAAGAAGGGAAGAAAATCTAGTAGCCATACTCTGAAAGGAGAGCCCATTACAGAATGTGCCTCTCTGAAAAAATTACCCTTCTAGTTGTCAGGGCAGTTGCCTGTACAGAGCCATGGCCTGCTTCTCAAAGTGTTTTGCTTCTTTCTTGTTCTATTTTTATTCTCCCAGAATTCAGTACAAATGTAAGATTGTTTTGGTTTCGTATTGCCTCACACAGTACTTCTGTAAGCTTGAGAAGAAAATCCCAAGCCAGCTTTTTATCCCAGAAATAACTCCTTGTACTGGGCAGGCAGCAGAACAATAAGGACTACACCCATCACAAATAAAGGCACAGAAGTGTAACAATGGAAAGAGCTCCACACCATTTTACAGTTTTGTATCCTTTCTGCATATCTAATGGCTTTCACACACAGCATTACCCCCCATCCACGGACGTTTGCTACCAACAAAAGAGCCACAACCAGGATTTACCAGCACATCACGTTACAGTAGGAGGGTCCTTCCTAGAAGTACCCATAAAGCCACAGTGCTTATACCAAATGTAAATACTCCAGCAAGAGACAGAGCTTCTTAGCATACTGTTGGTTTGGTTTTATTTGTTTAAATTAGTAACCTTATTCATCTGTGGCAAGTGCATATTGCCATGTGGCAGACAGCTGTTGGCTGTGACTGACAGCTTCTGTCCATTTCCAGGCCAGAGAAACAAAGCAAGGCCCTGTTTACTTTTTGCTAGATGCTATTTGAGAGCGGCTATTTTTAGCACAACCAGAACTAATTTTGCCATACTCAAGCAAAACGGAGAACCTTCATACTGCCACTAGAATAAAAACATCAGTTTACAAGTCCTAAGATCTAAACTCAGCCGACCTCTCCTTTCCCTGCCATTATTTCACATGCAGGTATCTCCCACAAATACAGCACGCTCCTAGGGACCAGGTGTCAGATGCAGCATTTGGACGGGATGTCAGGACTCCAGAAGCCAGGACTCCAACCACATCCCATGTCAGGCTAACGAGTTCAGCAGCTGACACTTCCTACTCAAGGAGGAGACTCATTGCTTCCTACTAAGCAATGCCAACCCAAGAACAGCCCAGTATTAACTCCCTGTACCTGGATGACTGTGGTGTTATTATTATATTATTATATATTATAGCAGTTTTATTCTCTTTACCTATAAGCCTCTCATAATGACATTTCTGTTTTGCAGAAATAAGCATATAAACAGGCGTATAAAAATTTGGGCATGCTACATCACATGCCCACACATAAAAGAATCACGTCAATTAAAACAAATTATGCCTGTCACCAGATTATTGATTCAGTAGCTAACTCAAAGCAGTGACTGACAGGTTTTTAATTAGTGGGGCTTGTTTTTCTTCTAATTAATGATTTATGTGTTATTTAGGGCCATGAAAGGAGACTGAGATTGCTGCCATAAAAACAAGACATCAAGCATGAGTAGTGCGGGACATTCCCAGACTGCGCCTGCGTTTTTGTCTCGTTTCCTTTACTAAAAATACAGAAATGTCGAAGAATAAGGAGAACGCATTAAGACAAAAAAAGGCCAGCTTGGACAACAGCCACCAAAAGGGTACCACACACGACCCCCAGCCTCTGAAACACGCCCATTCCACACCCAAGGCCGTGAGGGAGGCCGGGATCCCCCTGCCAGGGCTCCCAGCGCCTCAGGCCCCCCCCGGCTGGGCCCGGCCTGAAGGAGGCCGGGCCGGGCCGTGCTGAGGGCAGGCCGCGCCCAGAGGCCGGGCGTCCAGCGCGGCGCCCCCGGGCTTTGTGCCCGGCCGGGAAACGCTGGCAGCCCCTCACCTGGACTTGCCGACGCCGCTCTCGCCGATGATGAGGATCTTCAGCGTGGTCAGCACGTCCTCGTCCATCCCGCACGGCGCGGCCCTGCCCGGCCCCTCCGCCGCCCGCCCGCCGCTCCCTGACCAGGCCGCGGCGGCACCGCCTGCGCATGCGCGGCCCCCCCTCCCCACACACACACCGCCGCCGCCACAGCACCGCGCATGCGCACCGGGAGCGGCGGGGCGGTGAAGGCGGGGGAGGAGGGGGGATGGTTCCCCCGCCCCGCGTGTGGCGCATGCGCAGAGGGGAGGGAGGGGGCAGCCGCTTGTTTACAGCGGGCGGGGCGAGGGGGCGGGAGCGGGGCGCGCATGCGCGGTGTGTGTGTGGGGGGGGGTCAGGTCTGAGGGGGTGCTGAGGGGGGATCAGGGCTGAGGGGGTGGCAGCCGCCCACCTGCAGCCCCAGGAAGTCACCAGAGGGAATCCTCAGTCACCAGCGTCTTATATCCAGCAGTGCAAGCCAAGTGGCACGGCACCGCATCCTTTGTGCCACCTCTAAGCATGTCACTAACACTCTGCCCACTGATTTCTGCCTATCCTTTTATTTCCCACCGCCCGCATCCAGTGTGCTCAGTGGTGCTGTGTTTCCAGGTAAAGGTGAATCCTTTGGCTGGACACGCTTCACTGTGGAAATAATGAAGTTGAGAGTAGAAAGGTGTGGTCCCTGAAAGGCAGTTTCTCAGACAAACACGCGGTGTATGTTTGCGATTCTCTAAATTGTTAGGGAATGAGAGCTGGGTGGTGCCTCTCAGCTGCTGAGGGAGGTTTGAGAAAGATAAAAAGACTGTAGATAATTCGCAGAAAAAAACATACCCAGCAGTCCTCTATTAAAAACACCTAAATGTTGTTCTAAACCTGATTGCAATGAGAAAAACTCTTTATACCTAATTTAGCTACCCTGCTATTACAGCTCAAAACCTGCCTCTGACCATGTGTAAGCAAGTGAATTGCCTTTAATATTAATCCAATGCATGTCTGATGTGGGGCTGAAATTGTCCTTGGTCTTTGCTGTTGCTCTTGGGCCAGCAAGGCAGCCTCTTCTTGTCTCCAAACACTGACTCTGCAGCCTACGTGAAAGGCCTGAGGCTCTTCTGCAGTCACCCCAAATGACAGACATCAAGCCACGTCAGCATTTTGCACGAGGCAGGTGTGCTTGTGAGACACTGTGGTTGGTTTTGTCAGCGTGCTGGCTACAGAGGGCCTAGTTCTTTAGCAGAATAATGATTTTGCTGGGCAATTGTATTTAACCGAGTTACAGGGTCCAGACAGTAACAATGCTTTTGCTCCTGTGAAGTAAACAGTTCTGGTGCCTTACTCCTTCTGCCTTCAGGATCTGCTGTCCTGCCTCTTTTGTCTCAGAAAATAAACTCCTGGGACGAGTACAATAACAATAATTATCCTATTAAATTATCGAGGCATATTCTATAATTAAGCATGTGCAAATATCTGGCTGTGTGTAAACTGTGCCAGTTTATTAGCAATAACCTGAGATTTGTTGAGGGTGTGATTTAGTTTTCTTGGTGTGGATTGTGCTTTGGAGTGACACAAGAGGAGAGTGTGTCTGTACTCTGCAGTCTGTAATTGCAGTGTAATGGAGCTGTGGGGTCTTAGCAGGATGAGCATAGAATTTGAAAGGTGGACCGAAATAGCAAAGTATTCTAGTAAAGATATTGAATCTTTTAAGTCAAAGAGTATTTGTTTCTTAGATGGATTTTTTTTTCCATCGTAGCCATAGAATCAGATTATAATTCAATATCTCACTTTGAATGAAGGGTTGGCAACCATGGCATTCAGATCCTTGACCTTAAAGATGAGCAGACAAAGGAAAGCAGCCAAACTTGCCCTAAATGAACAGTTCCATAGCTCATGTTTATGGATGTGGTGCTTTTTAGACCCTCCCAAACATGCCTTTTGAGAAAGGTGCCCTTTGAGTTGTCCTCCTCCAGACCAAGCCATGTAGTCCTTCAACTCTGAGATCAGCTCTGTCTGCGGCATATGATTCTCTTTGCTGTCTGTGTTTCATTTCAGCTCTGGAAAGCCAGGCCGTGTTGTGCATGTACCAGCCCTATTCCAGGAGCCAACAGTACTGGATGATTAATGCATTTCAGATATAGCTCCTTCAAAATGAAGTGTAATTCACTGAACAGCATACAACTATCAGGGCAAAATGTTAATTCACTTTCCCATCAAACATTTGTAGCATCTATTCATGGAAGCTCTTTCTGGTTTGGGAGAGACATGTGGCTTGCTGTAATTTGTCTGCTTGTTTTCTTGTATGCTTTTCAGGACTCATTAGGAGTCTTCAGTTATGACGACTAACCCAATCCTTTTCTTTAATAGCACTGAAAGTTTTCTTCTGTTTATCATTTACTATCCTTTTTGATCCTGACCTCAGATGTGGGAGGGCCAAGCTGTAACAGCATCGTTAGCCTTACCTGATTATTACTCTTCCTAGAACACTGGAGATCTTTTGACTGCATTTTCATTTCTTACTCTGCTTACTCTTGATTTCTTCCAGTGATCCCTTTGAATTTCTATCAGAAAAGCACCAAGCAGATTAACTTGTCTGCATATAGTATTTATAAATAATTATACATAACTTTCCTCATTCTTCTTACACTGCTAAGGGAAACAGGCTGATGGTAGAAAACTAACAAAACTGGTTCCAAGTCAGCTCCTCCCGCATATGGAGTTGTATAGTGAGATTAAATTTGCACTTCAGAGTTTTTCCTCATGCTTTTACAGTCTTTTACGGAGACTCCCTAGTTCCTGCCCATGGACTCAGAAAAGTAGAAAAATGTCAGCTCCATCTCAGCTACAGCAAGTATATGAGATCATTGTTCCTGAAGTTTTAATTACTTTGGGGATGTGAAGGGAAAGAAGGGGAAACACCCTAACAAAGATAGTTCTTGTAATGATATTCTCGGTATCAAAATTCCCTGTCCAATGTATTATGGACTTGGGGCAACCTTTGTTATAATTCCCGTAGTCTTGGAGCATCCAGATCCTACTCTATCTGTCCAGCTGGTATATTCTGCAACTCACTAAAGAAGCCAAAGCACCTCAGTCTCCGCTTAATTAATTCTCAATTTAAGGAAGAGAAAGGTTGTAGGCCTTTTGTTTTCATCTATATCCTTGACCATGAGAAGAGGCCATAAGAGTGGGTAACTGTGATAGCCTCTCTCAAAGGTGAGCAGTCACTTGCAGTCCCTCCATTAGGGCTGGGATCTACAATGAAAGGACCACTGAACTTTGTGTGTCCTCAGGGGACCATGCATAGCACGTTGCATAGCACGGGGCCCTTAGGCTGCCACTGTGGGCAAGTAAGGGTTAGAAAAGACCTCCATCCAGCTCCTCCCTGCTGAGCTAGCTGCGGTGTAACCTTAGCAACAAAGATGAGTGTGTCAGAAGTGAGTCAGTAACATGAGAGACAACCTGGAGTAAACAACTCGGGCTCATTCTGCGTCTGAATTCTGTGCCTGGGAGCCTTTGGTCACTTGACCTGAACCATCTGCTTTAGCTTCTGTGGCATAAATATGGGAGTAATTATATTTGCTACAGAAGACAACAGAAATAGCAAGGACTGATTTGATGGAGGAGACACTGGTTTGTGTTTTCCATGTAAGCACTGCCTAGTTTAGCTTGAGCTGTGACTTTCCTGATGAGAGAGTGGCTTCATAACTGTATGGCTTTCCTCCTGTCTCTCGTATCACTAATGCCATTACCAGTAAAGTCAGGCCTTGAAAATTATAGGTTCTGTTTATGCCATTTAGGTACACAAAAGTTTCAGGAGGATGCACATCTTTGGGTGATAAGTCCTTGATTCATTGATAGCTGCAAGGATATTATCAGTTGTGCCAACTCTGCATAATGTCCAGCAGAAGCCAAGAATCTCAGCCACTTCAGAAGGATGTTGACAGCACTCTACAGTCTCCCGTTGTAAAGACAAATCCTGCTATCCCATTTCCAGATCGTGTGCCTGACCCACAATTTGTATTATCCTGGCAGTGGGTCAGGAGTTATGATTCATGGTGAAACAAGCCGGATCGCTAAGCTCATCAGTCACTCCTAGCAGAAACAATGCACATACACGCGCTCATTCTTTTGCTCTTCTTCACACAGCAATTTGCAAAGTTTGTAAGAGTGACTATCATCACATGCGTCAGATTCAGGGAAGTTCCTTTTCTGTGTGACATCCTTAAATAAAGCAAGCACATCTGTATGCTTTCACATTCAGCAAGTAACAGCAAGGAGTGAAAGTGCTGCAGAAGTCCCAGAACTCCAGGCAGGGCTTCTCAAGACCATATTGAAATGAACATGACCTTGCTGTGGCTGGCCTCTGCTTTTCTAAAGAATCCAGCATATTTTTATGAAACAACTGCATAGGTTTCTCTCCTTGTCTCCCTCTCCAACCTCAGCTAGAGCTGAGCGCACCCATCTGTTGATTCCTTCAGTGTCTGCTCAGTTTCTGTGGACAGTAAGGGGGGTTTAAGACTATAAGCACATTAGCTCTGGGCAATTAAAATACACTGCTTATAGTCAACACAGTTTTAAAAAGTGGATTACACACAGCACTGGGGATGCAACAGATGGGAGGCAGCAGTTTGGGGAAGAACAACAACAAAAAAAAAAGCATTGCAGCCACTCAAAATGCTAAGGCTGTATATGAGAGTGATAATAACAGCATTTTTCAGAGAAAACCAGCATGTATTTCGAAGATCATTAAGTGAATCTTGCATAATGATCATGAGTGGATTACAGATTCTGTGCTGGAATAATCTGCTTGCTGAAGATAATAGAAAAATGTAGTTGCATGCTTTGAAATGCTGTTATTTTGCTCAATACTTAATGTAATATTCAAGACACACCACCTCTTAATTCCCTACCGGAAAATGGTGAAAAAGACTAGCCACCTCCTAGTTCCATTGAATTTTGTTCAGATAAATTGCTTAATCATTTAATCCCAACTAATGCAAGCAGTAGTCTTGAAAATTACAGTTTATCTTCCTGCATGAACTTTTAAACCAAGGGCAGCTATTAAACTGGATGACCTAAATATTCGGTTTAAGTTATCTCTAAAGCTGTTGTTGAAAAACGTAAATAATAATGATACGAAAGTGGATTCCTGTTTATGATTGTCAGATTCCCTATAAAACATTAATTACATTTTAAATAAGAAGAAAACAGCTTTGATATTTGAAGTACATCTACCAAATACTGTACATCAATATTGAAGATGGTGAGACAACAGTTTACAAAGGACACAGAAAGAACAGGATATTAGAGTTTTCCTGCAGCTGAACTTGATATGCACTTCATGAACATATTGAGCAGTTGGTGTTCTGAATTGTTCTTTGTTCATGGCAAATGTATTTGTATCCAGAGTAGCACCATGTATAATGTATCTACCACAAAGATCAGAAGAGACACACAAAAAGTGAATATTTGGCAGACCAGGTTCACATGAAGTATTTCCTCTGGGTCTTAATGAAATAAGAAGTAGTGATACTTTTCCAAAGCTTACTATTTCCACATTGCTTCATGAATTTTTCAAAAGCCACTTTAGGATTTGCTTTGGACTTCATATGTTGGCGGGAGAGCTGGAGATGCTTTTTATGAATACCATAAACTTCCTAGAGGAGGCAAAGCAGGCATGTATCTGTGTGCAGTACCTTTCTATAAAAAATTGTATTTCCCACAAGCAAGGCAACTGGCATTCCTGTTCAGAAAACAGTTGTTCTGAAATAAATGTTCTTGTTTTTCAAGAGGATGTACTTTTTTTTTTCTTTTTTTTTTTTTGAGGTTTAACCTGGCTGGCCGCTAAGCACCACACAACTTCTAATGATCGTTTTAAGGGAGGAAAATTGGGAATGGAGGAATGGAGTTACTTTCCATTTAAGAAATAATGAATTCATTTAGTCTTCTCCAATTGCTTTTAGTAACGGATAATGTTAAGGGGGGAAGGGAAGGGATAACCCCATCTCTGCTTTGGGATCATCTTATCGATAATCCCTTCTGAAGGTTTAACGTACCTCATCTAGCCTGTGGTCGCATGCGCCTGCAGGATTAGCTGTTAAATTGGCACCGGGTGGATTAAGTAACCCCACTCGTCAGCATCTCACCTTTTGCACAACACTGTATGAAGCAATCGTGACAAACCAGAGGATCCAGTGGGCAAAGGACAGAGACACGATATCAAGGCAGTGATTGCCAAGTAAGCCAAACAGCAATCTTTATTAAATCTCTAACAATCACTAGAAGAAATGCATGCAGAAATTGGAATTCAGATGGGGTCAGACCAAGGCCTACCGTGGCGAACAGTTTTGTCAGGTCCGATCAAAGTCCGTCTGTCTCCAGTGACTGGCAGTAGAGCCTAGGCAAGAGCAAGTAATGGTACGTCCCCAGGATGTTACTGCAGCCTTCAGCACTTTGTGACCCAGGGCGTTTGGAGCCTGTGGTGATGGTGTCATCATACATAATAGCTGCAGTTCTCTTCAACAGTAGCTGCATTTTTCTTCATCAAAGATGCTTTCTCCTCCATGTATTTTGAACCCATAATAACGTATACCATCTAGAGCCTCCTGCCACAAAGAGTTGCACAGCTTAGCTGCATAGACATCCTTCTTTTAGTTTTATTTCCCACCTGCTACTTTAATTTATTTCCCTTCTCATATTAGAAGTGACAGTGAGCAACTGTCTATTAATTTACTCTATGCCACACGTGATCCCATAGATCACCATCACGTCCTCTCATAGTTCTGTTTTTTCAGACAGAGGAATCCTGATCTATTTAATCATTCCTCATATGGATGTCTTTATAATTTTAATTATCCTGTTTTCACTTCCTGTACAGTGACTGTCCTCCTGGATCCTTTTTCAGATGAGAAGACTAGAACTATACAAAGTACACAAAATAGGAGTGTCCCCAAGGAATGGTGTGTTTTCTGTTTTATTCTATGGGTATTTTCTAGTATTTTCTAATGGTCTGTTTGTTTTATTGGCCACCACGTAGGCCTGTGCTGATATTTTCATAGAATTATGTATTGTAATTTTTTCTACTTCCTTCCATTGCCTCTTAATTCCTATCCTTTGATTCCTACATTTTAACCAGTGTTTATGCATCTGAAATCCTGCCCACTTAGTCATTTTGCAGTGGTAACAACCACAGCAGAGCTCTTCACTATGGATGTCCTTTTAGTATTTTTAAACAGAATCACAGGGGAAAAACAAACAAACAAACAAACTCCTTTTTAGATGTCTTCTTGTTTGTTTTGTTTTGGTTTGTTTATTCTGAATGTACTACCACGTCTTTCCTGACTTCCTTTGTATAACTTGACTGATCATGGCTTCTTTGGTAAGTTTCCTTCTTCTGACACGTTTGATAAGGAATTTATTATCAGTTTTTTTGTGTGTGTTTTGTTATTTGTTCCTTACATTTTTTAAAGTTTTGCATTATTTTGCTTTTGTATATACTTGCTGTAGTGTATATTCATTTGTATTTTCCTCATTTCAGTGGAGCTCCACATTTTTGCAGTATTAAAGAATTAGTGAAGTTGAAGGGGACCTTTGGAGATTGTCTGGTCCAACACCATGCTCGAGCAGGGTCAGCTAGAGCAGGTTGCTCGGGACCATGTCCAGTCAGGTTTAGAATATCTCCACAGGTGGAGATTCCACAACCACTCTAGGCAACCTGTTCCAGTGTTGGACCACATTCACAGTAAAAAATAAAAATAAAAAATAAAAAAGTGTTTTCAAAGTCAGGACAAAATGAAGAATTGTTCTTCCACTTGTCACAAGCTACCCGTTTAATGGAGAAGTTATTTATGACATCCAAACCTTCAATCCTAGCACCATGTCTGGACATATGTAACCTGCCTTGGTGGTGACTGAAGTTTTCACTACATATGTGAGTTTCCTTTCCTCTCAGCCTCTCCAAGAGACTCACCGTGACTCAGAGGTTCGTCATGTTAGCGTTCCTGTGATCTCCTCAGTCAAGCAGTCAATTACACGCTCCCAGTCCTACGTCTTTGTTGTTTGCATGTTAAGTAATCGGTTTCCAATCAAAAAAAAGCCGCAGTACTCATAGTGGTAATAACCATGTGGGTCAAGGGTTGCCCAAACACAAAAGCCAGCTGATAAGATAGGAATATTGCAAACCTATGAGAGAATCCATGTAGCAGCTACTTTAACGTAGCATGACTGTGACAAAAGGAGGCAGTGGAAATGGGCATTTGGCACAGGATGGGCTGTTTGTCCGTGGTGGGACCTCCAGCAGATGGAGCACCTGGCTGAAGTGTCTCCAAAGTTTGGGCATCACTGAATGTATGAGATTACAAAATAAATACAGCTCAAGGAATGTGACATCCTCCTCTCCTTCAGGAGCACAGCTTAATTTATCCACCAACATACTCGGCAAAAGACCTTTGTTTCCACGTCCAACAGAGGACCGATGCCAAGGCTGGTGTAGGTGTGCCGTCTATATTCACTTTCTTTTAAGCACTTTCCTCGCTAGGTGGCCATGGCAGCATAATAACAAACAGTGTGCATCATTAGATCGTCCCCTATAAAAACTGCACTACTTCAGGGTTTTGGAAGCATTTGCAGTAGCATGGTTGAGTAATGCTTTTGCACTTTCATCACATTTCTCTAGTGTTTGTAATGTTATTATTACAAAACTTCCAGTTGAGGCACGCTGGGGATGTGTTGCAACTCTTTTTTAAGAGGTGCAGGTAGTCAGTACTTCTTCCTACCAAGCCCATCATAAACAATTATAATGATTTTATAATGTATTTGTATAATCCCTTTCTTCTGAAAGTTATATATAAACCTTGGGGGAGGCTCTAACAATTGCTGAAGTGCAGCTCTGAGGTAGAAGCCAATCAGAAATCATGTAACACATCAACCTTGAACAACAATTTAGAAGAGAAAGCAAAGGCAAAATACAATCTCTGAAGCCAAAATATAGATGGGCACAGTCAAAATGTAATGATGCTAAAACTACCCTTATACCCTTGCAAAAATTGCAACGGGAATCTACAGCTAATGTTCATAATCTTTTTCCTTACCTCTCAATTGATATGAAACAGTGCCAGTAAATGAGCAAGCCACTTTAATACCAAGCTGAGGTACTGATTTCCAATTATTTCTGTATTTCCACTGCGCTAATGCCTGGAGACCTGCATTAGAACAGGGTCCAATGGTATTCATTTCTGCAAAATCACAAAACTTCTGAAATGGTTGAAAGATAAAACCAGCCCTACTTCTGCAGGCAAGAATTTTCCCTACAACAGATTGAGTTTTTCTTGGTGACATCTGTCTCCAAACAGTGCTCAGACTTAATGTCCTGGATAGCAACATTAAGTATAATCTTCTGTCATCTCCTCATGACAACATGTAAGCCAAAACTCTTGCAAACAAACCAAAATATTTTCTTCTGGATCAGGAGTTTGAATTAGATGACTGAATTTTCCTGGCATGAGAGGATTATTCCTTGTCTTTCACCTAATCCTCCTCAGTTATACAATATATATAGTTACACATAGTTTTTTGTTCCCTTGGGTTTGAAAATATTACTTTTCCACTGGGTTTCCTGCATCACTGTAATACTTCCCCTTGATTCTCTGGTTTCGTCTGCTCAACTTTCTGTTTGTGGTGCATCCGGTAGCCTGAATGAAGTTACAGTTTTCAGATCTGTCATTTAGTCTTCGGGTATACTACTGGGGTCCCCAAGGCCTTGTATTCTGCCTTTAAGATCTTTTGTTCCATCGTGCACCATCCATTGTGTCAAAGTGGTTTTTCCCACAAGTGTTTCAATTACAAATTGATATTTAGTATTTGCTAAGGACTTTAAAGCCTTTGGTTTCCATTTGTCATTTGAGCTTTCCACCCCAGGCCCTAAAAGCATGCTGCGCTTTGGAAGCACTTTTACAGGTCTTCTAGCACGTATTTTATCCTTTGATCTTTTGTATCTTTTGCATTCACAGTTGCTTGAATAAGATAATACGCGTTTAAATCATTCCCATCATAATTGGAGGTGATGAGGCACAGTATGTTCATCCATTTAAGTGGCAGGAGATTCCAAAGTCCTGTGATATGAATAATTTCCTGTTTGCTTTGACCTTTTAATAATCTGTGCACAATCCTCAAACAAAATATTTTTTCAAGGCACGATGCTTATGTCTCTGTCATAATTAATATTTGACGATGCATAAATATCTGTTGATATTGCATCACAGCAAATGTGCTATGGGGCTTTTCTCCAGCAAGCCAGTTCTGGGCTTCTGTGGGCTTTTGAGTTTGTTTGGTTGTTGGTTTTTCAGTGAATTTCAGGTCTTCTATGTTACCCAGCTCTTAGCAGACTGCTAACACAGTGGTGCCTTTTCATTTTCATTACTGAATATAAAGAGTTATTATCACTACATGTTTTAAACTTTTTTCAGCTCCTGTGAAGAACACTGAAAGTAATCTCTTCTTGACTGAAATGCCAGCAAGACAAGGTTCATGTAAAATTTTTAATTGCAGATCATTTCTGAAATTTACAGTCTGTTTCAGCGTGTTTATGTGCAACTGTAGTTTGTGAAATTAGGTAAATTCTTCATAGGGTATTAAGAAATTATTAGACCTTCTCCATAGGACAAAAAAAAGCTTGGCGTTAAATTGTCTTCTAGGAACCTAGCAACTTTTTTTAGAACTAATTCATCATGGGCTTTTGCTATTTTGAATCTGTGTATGTCTTAATATCTGAATGCACACATTGAGCATGGGAGGATGTAACTCGTTAGCAGTCCAGTACCAGACCTCCTGTTTTCATTCACTGCCCACTTATACAGGGCTTGGTGTTGTTCCTGGGGAGCTACTAATAAATCTCACAGTGATTTTCTGTATAAGCAGAGCTAACTCATAATGTTTTCCCCTCATACATCATGCACCCTGTTTCCTTCACGCTCCACAGTGATTCCTTGCACGTATTTCCTGTTTTTTAGTCTTCTGTTGTTTTTGTCTCCTTTAAAAAAAAAAAAAAAAATATTTGTTTTCAACTGTGGTTTCTGGTGCATCACCTGAATATTTAATACTCAGTCAACAAGCAAATGCAAGCATATATTTTCAGTAAGCTTTTGCTCATTTAATCTGATTCAGTGTGTTGTTTCTCAATGGAGAATGTTCAACGCTACCCAGGGAAGTATTTTCACATAATATTTTGCTATTCAGGATGTGCTCATGGACTTGTGTAGGCAGAACTGGCTGGAAGTTTCTCTTTATTTTCAAAAATAACACATTAATGTTAACCAACAGTCACCATCTTGAGCTATTTGAGGTACTCCAGTATTTCCCTGCACTTCTGTAGGAAGGATGATGTCATTTATCAGAAAATATTAGCTTCTTTGTATAAAGGAACATGGATGTAGGAAAGAATTAGGGCAGAGGTGTTCTCAGGGAGGTCTTGTTAGAGTTCACCTAGCTGGAGGGATCTTGGCAACAGAGAGAGCTGTGGCCTGAAGTCAGGATACAGGTTTGACCACAGAGGACAATTTGTGGAGAGGAGGTAATGCAGAGGAAGCTAGTCAGGAAACCAGAGGAGGCTTTTCCACTGGACTGAAAGGTCTGAAAGAATCAAAAACTCCCTGTGCCTTGAAATCTTAGCAACAACTTAATGTCTAGCCAAATAAGCAAACACAGGTTCTCTAACATTACATTTTCTTAAATACGTATGCAGGCCAACAGTGCTTAAAATTGCTTAGGACCTCTTCTTACTTTACCCTTTCTGTTTAAAATAAATGATCTCTCCTTGAACATGGCTACGGGATGTTTCGTGAGATACAACTTCCTATACAAACAATAGCTATGACACTCTGGCTAAGCTGAGTACACACAAGAAAGTCCCTATTATGTAGCTGCTAGATCACACCACGGGGATTTTGTGGCCAGGGTTCAATTTTGAGGCAGTTGGCTGGGTGACCTATAAAAATGACAGTATGTATTTATGTTATTATTGCCTGCCTTTCATTATCTGCAAATTTGGAACAAGAAAATAAGCTCCTTTACAGAACATTTCTAGTGATGGAAAGCATCTTGAGAGAGCTAGACATTGCTAGAGAGCCATACTGTGCAGCAGAATTAGTGTGAAACTTTAGTTCCATGTGCTGGGTTGTGTGTTACAAACACTGCAAAAGCAAAGAAAGTTGATATTAGAAAACGTCCTTATGACCTGTAGACCCCATAAGCCTTCTGCTTGACAGATTGACAGATGCCTACTAGCCAGCACATAAAAGTAAAACTTTTCCCATATTACAGACGTAAGCGATGCTGGCTAGTCCTTCATAGCTTCCTTTTATTCTAAAATTGCATTTTCTGCTAAGATCATATTCTAGTCAAACTCAATCACATCCTACTTCTTCCTCAACACAAGTGGAAAGCATGACCCTGCTGTGCTGCCAGGGACAGCAAAAGGAGATTTTACATGGTCTCTGTGCTTTGGAAGTGGACAGTGCAGGGGCACACCCTGCCTGGTTTCATTCCTACTAGAGAGCGCAGGGCTCCTCATGTCTGCTAGCCATTCCCTCACAGCTCTGTGGCATTGCCAAAGATTAGCTACAGAAGCTAATATAGCCCTGAGGTTGCAGGAATAGAAAAAGATTGTTTTTTACCCCACAGGTCCTGTGTAAAGGCCCTTCCACCAGTTTGAGTAATCAGGCTGAGGGCAGGTCCCAAGATTTATCCTTTAAAGAAATAAGACTAGAGGAGTTTTTCTTCCTCCCATGAAAATGCATTAAATTAAGATTTGAGGCTATTAACAATACCCTAATCAATCAACTAGCATGAACAAAATGAGCTTCACCCCCCTGTGCATATCTTGAAAAGAGCATGTAAGCTCTGGCTGGATGTCACAGGGGGCTGTCGCAGGATGTACAGGCTACAGAGGGTTATAGAATCAGCAAAAACTGAAGCATGGTCTAACTATTAATTTGTACAAGAGGTTGGATAGGGCTAGGGCAAAAGCTGAGATTGAGACCTTCTATTTTTTAGGAAGCACGACAGGCTATCATTTTCTCACCTCTCAGACTGAAGATCTCTCTCCTAAGCCATTATTCCTCAGCAGTACTTTTTCAGGAGAGAAATCTACTTGCCAATACAGCAAATGAGTTACATGATTCAAGTGCTATTTTGTGAAGAACAGAGTTTGTGCAGCTCCTAAAATCCTGTTTTGACTAAAGCTGGGGTGGCTTTATTAGCTGCTCAGACAGTCTTAAAATATCCTCCACAGCGCGGGCACTCAGGGAGCACTCCACAGGCTGCAGAAGCCTGTCTGAGACCAGAGCTGCCAAAAGCAGGGACATTGTCATTTTCCCCACTCTCCTGGGAGATCTGGCTCCTGATGATGTGCAGTGGGCAAGCTCTAATTCCAGCTTGAAAACAAGCCTTGAAAAAAGAAAGTTCTGTTGCACCAGCATCAATCTCAAGGCTGCACCATCTATCCTTCTATCTCCACTAGTTTTCTTCCATTATTAGTTTTAGCTTTATTGCTGGGAAAAATTGTACAAATATTTATGCGAGCAAATAGTTTCCACTGAGATCTATCTCAGTTCCTGAATAGCATCTGTAAGTTCTGTCTTGTGGCAAACAGTATATCCACCTGCGTGGAGTACCACTGTTATAGATTCTGCAGGCAGGTGATAAATACAACCTCTTTTAGTGGGAGAGATGAATTCAACCACGCTAAGGTAATTTCAGCCCAGAAATTCCACCCCCCAAATCTATGGAAAGGGGATATACAATTTCAAACATTACATCATCATAATTATATCTCCTAATAATACCCTGGTGTACGTGAAACAGTAACCAGCAGCTCTGGGCAGTGGATGTCATCCTCTCTAGACATCATTTACATTACTGCCCTTGTTGCAGTGTCTTGGGAGTTCATAGCACGCAGATGGCTTATCTACAGGTGGTATAATTTTCCATTGTTCTTACATTAATTCAGGGGCATATACAACTCCAAGCTTGTCCAATTTATTTTTTCCTGATTGGTGACATGGAGACTGATACAATCCAAGTGAAAACGGGATTGTTTAGGGGAAGAAAGAAAAGGTTTTAGGAAAGGTGTTCAAAGACTGATAAAATCTGACTGCTTGCTAATAACACAGGCACTCCTCACTGCCATGTACTAGATGATTGACTATTCTTTTACTAATAGATGTCAGAAGAAAAATAACACATTGACTATTTAAGTATTTCAAGTTTAGCAGTGATCCCAAATTCAGAAGTTCTGGACTACTAAGCCTTCACAAAGGACCACAGATTATTTTCTGCTAGAACAGAACTCCCCAGGTCTTGAAAGTATAGAATTTGCTTGAACTTCTTGAACTCTTGAGGAATAAATTGAGGAAAGAATAACAAACAAACCAAAAATTGCTCTGGTAGTGTGATGTTTTATTTATTGTTCCTACAGCTCTGGGGTTTTGCACTCTCCTTCAGAGCTGGTTCAACATGCATCTTGGTGACGCCACAGAGCGCGCCTTTGGTCGGATTTGATGTGTTATAGCTGCGTGCGTCTGAATGAATGGAAGTACAGTATAGCTCCTGAGACGAGATATGGGACTGCATATAAGCTCTATAATAATTCCTCAAAGTAATCAGCCAAGGGCTGGATGGATTTCTTTCCGTAGATCCTGTACTTTCATTGCAGCTGAAATCCAACACAAAATATTTCGTTATAAAGATATGTGCTTTTCCTCCTCACTCTGTAAAGTCTTTGCTACTTTCTTCTATCAAAACTCATCGTAATGTGTCTTTTTGCTCCCTTTTCGAAGCCTTGAGTGCCTAATCCTAGCTCAGTAACCCTTTTGCTGTATAAACAGTGTCATCCTTACATTTTTTCTCTATCCTACACCTTTTCATGGCAGAAATCCTCCTGCCTGGCATGTCCCCTTTCCTCGCAGCAAGTGGTACGTATGCCTGTATTGGTGAAGTAACCTGACCACGTACGGTGCACTCAGTGCTCAGTCTGCTGAGAAAGAGAACATGATAGGTTCATAAATAGTTTCCTATGCTCTGACCGGATCCGTCTGAAGTCTGCTTTTTGGGATTGTTTTATAATTGCTGTCTGGAAGCTTCTTTCCTCTTCGCTTCCTCCTCAGGCCTGGCATGAGCCCCAGCTCCTGACAAGTGTTGTCCCAGCAGAGGAGCATTGTAGAGCCCTTCTCCTTTTGCTTTCAACTTCATGCTGAGCACAGAAGGGTGGAGGAGGCTGCAGAGAGGAAATAGGAGCCCTTTCTTCTCCCAGGCTGTGTCCTGTCCCTGCAGTGCTCCCGCCGGCTGCCATCCGGGAGATATCAATGGCTCTCCTGTGCATCACAGCACACTGGTGCAAACACCGAGATGTGGCTATGTGAGTCCTACCCTGCATAATTCAGCATTATCTTCTGTCCCTTTTGTCTGTAAATCAGGCTAGATTCCTGCAGAACCACGTACTCCTAGGGTAAGTACAGCTCACCTCTGAGCTGCCCTCCCAGGGAACTAGACGTGGTTTCACCAGGAGTCCTGGAAGCCTGGAGTTATTTAACTGAAGCCAAAGAGTTAGGGCAGCTGAAGGGGCTGCTGGGGCAGCTACAGGGGCTGTCTGCTCAGGCTGGGGGTGTACAGAGGCTACGGTTATCTGTACCACACTGGGGCTTTCCAGACAACCTGTTATCCCTGGCTAATTGTCCCCTACTGCAGTCTCAGCCTGTATTTCCATAGATAAAAAAGAAAAAGAAAAAAAATCCCTATATTAAGCATTCAACCCTATGGACAAAAATTCCACAAGTTTTTTATGCATGTGCTGGGCCCTCTGCCTTATGGAAATTCATGATGCATTATGAAATTACTAGCAGAAACCATCCAGAATCAACAGCAATGATAGCTCAAACTCACAATTTCCCTTGTTTTCCTGCTCTCTTATGATCCCTCTGTACTTTCATGATTAGGGCTGTTATTGATTTCCTACTGGCTAGCATGGAGAAAACACTATTGGATCTGGCAGTTTCTAGTGATATATTTGACAGTCTGCCAAAAGCATTGCAACAGAGCAAACCTACCAGGTTTTGGTTTTGCAGCATTTTGTTTCAGTGGCACTAGCCCAGTCCCTTTCAATGGTAACAGCAGGAAGAAAAAAATGACTGAAAGAGCACATTGACTAGACACTAGTATGGGAATCGCTTTTAGGTTACTTGCCCTTTATGAATACTGCTTTTGAGGTCCTCAGCTAGTAGCAAACATCTCTGCTGTGCACCTGGTAGCAGCAGCGCCGCTGGCTGCTGAACCCCAAGATGCCAGAGAAGCCGTGGGTGCAGAGCTCACCTCCGCAGCACTCCGCGGGCCAGAGAAGATCTTTGCTAGATCAGCTGTGAGATCAAGATGAGGCTTTTCACTCCCCATCCTTCTCACCTGAAGAGCAGGGCACTAGTCCAATTAAACGAACAAGCTGAAATGATGTCTACAGCAATCCTCACATATGTTTTCAGTATAAGGTAATACTATTGAAGTTGCTGCACTGAAGAGAAGAGAGGAGGAATATATGTGCCATTTTGTACCACCCAAGGCAGTCAGAAGCTGAGAGAGATGCACACAACTGGATGGTTAGAGAGTTTTTGCTTTCTTACAGCAGTGGTGTTCCTAAACTGCTCCTTCCCTCACAACTGCTCCTGATCCACTTCTCCAGGCACATTTTGGTGGTAAGGGCTCATTTTGGCTGAGAACTGACAGAAAGAAATGAAGAGATCTGTGGCAAGGAAAAGCCAGATGCAGCATTTTCCCAACGCTGCCTTTAGTGATTCTTGCCTTCTCCATTTTCAGCTTTGAAAAAGGCTTTTCAGTGGCTCATATTTGCCCTATTACACAGCAACATCCAGCTAGCACCCAAAGAAAGTGTGTCAGACTTTTAGCCCTAAACAACAACCATATATCGTCAAACATCATCATCTCTTATCATCGTATCTCTGAGGAGCTTATAAATAGAGACGTCCACCAGCACCACAGAACCCTTCAACTGCAGTGACAGGAAAAATGTAACTAGATTTGTGGTCAGGAAGGGTCCACAGACCACCTGCTCTACGATGACACAAGAACGGTGCTTACCAGGTGAGACTTACCCTTTAGGGTGGCCAGTGCTGATTTCTTTTTCCATAGGCTTTGAAGCACAGACCTTCTGCTATAGACATGAGGTTCCGCTGCTCCCAGTCAGTCCCAGTCTGATAACTGGCTGATGTCAGCATAAAACGTGGCAAGGCAGCCCTTAACAGTGGTAACTGTGAAATTACAGCGTGCTCCAGTATGACCCAAAGAGCACGCCACCGAAACTGCCTGATCCTCCCCATGTAGCAGCACTTAATCAGGGAGCTGTCATCTGGTCAGCCTGACCTCAGGGCAGTTCTGAGCACACAGGGTGACCGTGTGGGGCAGTTCTTGTGCAATACTGGCGGCGTGGAGCCTGGAAAGGCCTGAGCAGCTGGAAGTGGCTGAGCCAGGAAGGCTTCAGTGGCCTTAATGTGCTCTGAAAAAGCACCATTAAATACCTACTGCCTTGCCAGCTAATGGCACTGCAGTAGGATCACAGAATCAGGGAATGTGATTGGAAGGGACCTTAAAGCCCATCCAGTCCCAACCCCCGGCCATGGGCAGGGACACCTCCCACCAGACCAGGTTGCCCAAAGCCCCATCCAGCCTGGCCTTGAGCACCTCCAGGGATGGGTCCCTGTGGGGACATCTCAACACAGCAAAACTAAGCTCAGTAGAGCCCTCTGCCATCCATGTAGGAGAGCTGGGATGTTAGGCTTTGCAATATACCCTATAAACTTGTAAAAAAAATGCTTCTATGAAAAGTTATATCAGACTTTCTGATGACCAACCTTTTTTGCTGTGCTAACAATTCGTGTGAGTTTTTATGTTGTAGTAGGCACTAACCAAGCTCAAACTCCCACAATTTGCAGCAGACTTTTTAATCAGCTTGTGGAAACGGCCAGCTCTGTAGCCTTGGTTTTCCTAAGGGAATGTATGGAATTACAACAAAGAGAACATTGGTGATTAGATCTAAGCCATGATCAACTTCTGACACAAATATGTAAATGTTTGTGGATAGAAATATACTAATCTGCAGCAGCAAAACATTGTTTTGTACTGCTTAATGGTTTTTAAAAACAGGAAAACAGTAGGATGCAGGGAAGAAAAAGACGTGTTTCGTTGGGTATATTATGAATGTTAAATCTGTTGGTTTTGCTTATTTGTTTTTAAGAAGACCCAAGCATCTTTAACCTTTAATTAGATGGTGATATTGAACCACAGAAGACCAACAGATCAAGCCTTTAGTGGCTGGTGAATTGCTTCTGTACAGATTCCCCCCTTCTCTTCTACCCCCCATTGAATAACTGAATATAGCTAGTTTGCTTTCCCATAGAAGCTACTTATCTCTCTCTCTTTCTTTTTTTTTTTTTTTGTTTTGTTTTGGTTTTCAATATTTCTGCTCCCATATAAAGGAACTTTAATTTCCCAGTATCATTAACACTCTCCTAGTTCCACTGTTCCATGGTGTCTTTCAGGAATAGCAGGACACTGAACAATTCTATTTTGCATGCAAAAGAGGTCTAAACCCAACTAAAACTTTTTGTATGTCAGTAGCTCCTGTAGCTATCATAAATTGTTGATCGTCCAAGAAACAGTTGATGCAATAACTTAGTAGGGGAAAGTGTGGATGCAGCCTGACTCTTAAAAGAGAAGACCTGAAAATGGTCCTGAAATTGTACACAGTGTCAAGGTACTTGCTGTTTTCCAAGTCTGAACCATATGGTAGATGAAATAAACGTTCTTCCAATCCCTGATAAAATCTGAATTTTGTCTGTAGCAATTGAACAGATATCTTTCCTGATGGCTATCTGATTTCGATATTAAATCAGATCCACCCTGGCTGCACTCACTGCACCAAACAGCCAGCAGTGCCAGCAATTCCCAAATTGAGGTTGTGACCCAAAGTGGGGCTGTGGCAGACGTTGGGTCAAGTCACAAGCCTGACAGAAATGCAGTTGTTCACACCAGTATTTTGTGATTGTGAACCTGACCGATGGGGACCTGCAAAAGTCCACAAAAAGGAAAGGTTGAGTACTGCAGATCCAGCCCCAAAGGAGTTGGTTATCCTGATCAAACACACTTGCTTCAACTAGAATGGAAATTTTGTGACTATCTTAAAAACAAAGGACACACATCAGATTTCATTGTTGTCCGCTGTGTTCTGAGATGCTTCTGTGGTCCTTTGTTAAAAGAAAAGAAAACACTGGCAGCAAGATGTTGAAGGGAGCTGCTGTATAAAGGAAAATGTCTCCTCAGTAAAACATTCGCACAAAGAAAGGGGAGGGAGGCATTTGAAAGCACCCAGGATACACTGTACATAGAATAATGGGACATAAATGGAAGAAAGAAAAGCCAAAGGTATTAAATTATGTTTTGTCTGTCCTTGATGTTGAAAATTGTTATTATTCAGCACAGTCCAGTCCATATTTGTTTTGTTTTAATGTCTGGAATACTTTGCATTTCACCTTAATAATCCACTCTGTTCTAAATGTTTATACAGCATGATTTACTACAATGTGGATGTGTAATTATAGCGATGATTAGACAAAACATCTTTGACAAGAAAGGAAAACAGTAGTTAATAATGTTTTCCATCTGTTTGGTAAAACCTCACTTTAAAAGAAAGAGCCCCTTAGCATACAGCAGGGTCCAAGGCAACACCTATGCAAGTACATGACAGCAGTATAAATGCCTAATGAATTCATTCTGATCATTGCTCACACATTTTTGAAAGCACTACCATCTGTTTTATAGATAAATATTACAGTAATTAATGTCAGCACATGTTTATATTATATCATTTCCAGAGTCTTATTTTAGAGTTAAGACCTTTTTCTTTTCAGGGAGAATAACGGCATATTTTAAGCTATTGGCAGGAAATGCAATGTTATTAGGATAAAATGAGTGAATTTCAGTAATGGCTCGCTTCTTTATTGGAAAACTTTAGAGCATTTAATGCTTCTGTTCTTCATTAAAGGCCAAATACTGGGTCAGTGCCTACTCATGGAAAGCCCAAAAGAAACTCAAGCACTGCTGAATGAGGTAAAACTATAGTGGCTAATACCACGAAGCCTCTGAACTCCTGAAATTGGTATTTTAAGTCCCTTTGGCACCCTCCTGATGGCTGGGCATTGAGGGTTTTCTAATGCCTGGCACTAGGCACTCTGGCTCCAGATTAGTAAGTGATCCAGGTTTAAATTAAATGCACGGGATTTTTGCATCCCTCCTGGGCTCTGCTGCCTCTTGCTTTTCATAAGGCTCTGGCATTGTTGTCTTCATCACAGACAATGGATTAGTCTCTCATTTGCAGCAAAGCAAAATCTTTTCATTAAAATTTTGCTGCTTCCCTATCCAAAATGCTAAGAAAGGTGTCCAAAACAGTGCAAGCCCAAGGAATCAATTTGATTCTCATTTAAGGCATCTGCTTATATGATGTGCCAGTCAAAGCCTTGGTGAAAAAAACACTGAAGTCAATTTAAAGACTTCTGTTGACTTCTTTGTGCTTCAAATCAGGATTTATCTCTTCTTGTGCTCCAAGAAAAATATGTTCCAAATGCACAAAAATGCGGATGACAGTCCTGAAACATAACTGTTTTCATTGTGTCCATGATATCAATAATGTTCTCTCTCTCCCAGTGAACTTGAGTCGCAGCTGAACATTTCTGGTTCTTTTGCCAGTACTTCATGTACCTGTACAAAGACCTGCTGTTTGGAAATCTTTGCCTAGTGACAGACATTGGTGAAATTTGTTTCTGATATGGTTTCAGTTACATCTCGTTTCCTTTCTAGAATCTGTGCTACCAGTTCCACCTTTCACGAGTACTGATATTTCAGTTTAGTATGGTTTGCTAGTATCTGAAGTTTATTTGATATTTTATTTTATTTTATTTTATTTTATTTTATTTTATCAAGAGCTGCAACAGATGCTGCAGTTGCCGAATCTAGTTGAGATTTAAGCATCTCTGGAGAGACTTAAATCTTCTAACACTACTCAGTGCACTCTGAGCAGCCAATAGATTTTCCTGGATGTCTTCCACCATGGATTCCACTTAAGCAAGGTTCCTAACTATCCATCTAAGTTTCCAGCCGAGTAACTGTAGCTATGATGTCTTGCAAAGAAAGCCACTCCATGCTTATTTCCATTAGAAATAGAGAAATAACTGGAAAGGGCAGAAGAATTGCAGAATAAGGGGGGAATTAGAAATAAGTAACAACCCTATCTACTTGCAGAGCAGATCTGCTTTTCCCTGAATACCAGTTACCTGCTAGTTAAAACTTCAGTAATTACTGGGTGCTTGGAAGAGCTTCCTATGGGATCATGTTCTCCTGGAGGACACAATGTCCAAAAGCTCTGTAAGATATAGTTGAAATACACACTCAATGAACTCAATGACATAAATCAGGAAAATACCCACAACGACCCACACTTCTCTTCTTGAAAAATCCAAAAAGTTACAATAATTTTTAAAAAGGCAAAGAAAGTTGGCAGCAATCTGCCAAAAGCCACCAAACTAGCACATTACTTGCAGCGCTCTCACATCCAGTACGAGAAATCCAGCTACCAGCCCCCACAGAGGTTATGGTGACCTTGGAAGAAAAAACTCCCAAGAGGATGGAAAACCAGTCTAAAATTAGGAGGGGCTGTGAGTAGTGTTACAAAGAAGAAATCAAAATGATTTTGAAGATCAACTTATAGCCAAGACTGCATGCTGTGGTTGATGGTGACACCATGGGACTGGATTCCGTGGCCTAGGAAACACCTCCTGTTATTATTCCTGTGCAAAGAGACCAAGCCACAAAATTCACACTCATGCCTAGAGATGACCCATTTTATCTTCTGAGGGAAGGGGAGGAAAAACAGCAAGGTTTCAGCAATTTGGTTTGAATCACTAGTATGAGTGTCCTGCAAAGCTCTGCTCCAGATTTAAACTGCTGCCAGCCACAGCTGGTGCTCAGCTCTGGAGTTACAAACAAGCTTTAAAATGCACGCACATTCATGTATGCTGCCTTCTGTGTCTCCATCCTTCAGGGGCTGTTGAAGGCTGAAATATTAAATGTTATACAGTAGCTCCAAGAGTTAGAGGCTGCCACCCCAAGAGAGAATGCTGTAGCTGCTTAACAATGAGCTATTATGAGCACAAGCTTAGAGTCAGAAGTAAAGAGAAGTATCAAATCCCTCTGAAACAGCCAGGGGATTTGGGTAGGTGAAAGGTAATGACATGAGGAGCTCTTGGCCTCAGCATTGGTGTTGACACTACAAAGGCACTTTGAGCTCTCTGATGACCAGGAGCAGGGAGGGTCGCCTTA